AGGTGCCCAACGGGGTCAAATTCACCCCTAAAGTCCCATCCGCGGTTTATAATACTGATTTTTTTTCTCGAAAACCGTTAGGGCTTACGGTGTTTTGAAAATTGATAAAAATACTTAGAAGTGTGTTCTATTATGTGGTAGAATTTCGTTTAATTCGAAGGTGCCCATCAGGGCGAAAACATCCCTTTTTCGGGGGTGAGGGTTGAAAAATTTTTTTTTTACCAAATGGGGGTGGTTAGCTGTTCTTGAGGGTAAGAGTGACCTGTGTGTGAAATTTGGTTACCCAAATCGTATTGGTTACGGAATTATTAATGTTTTAAGTTTATTGCTGGGATTTATGGATAACTTCACACCAGTAGACCTAGATCTAGAAACAATTGGATTTAGCCTCACGTCTCTCAAGACGGCTAAACCCAAATGATTCTAGTTCTAGGTCTTGTGTTAGTTCTAGTGATAGTGCTAGTGCAAATCTAGAACTAACACTAGCCGTCTTAAAAGACGTGCGGCTAAATCCAAATGTTTCTAGTTTTTATGTTACTTTTAGTGACAGTACTATTGCATAATTAACACTAAATGTAGATCTAGAATCATTTGGGTTTAGCCGCACGCCTCTCAAGACGGCTAAACCCGAATGATTCTAGTTCTAGGTTTTGTGTTAGTTCTAGTGATAGTGCTAGTACAATACTAGAACTAACACTAGACCGAGAACTAGAAACTTTCGGATTTAGCCGCACGTCTTTTAAGACGGCTAAACCCGAATGATTCTAGTTTTAGGTCTTATGTTACTTTTTGTGGCAGTGCTAGTGCAAAACTAAAACTAAAACTAGATCTAGAACTTGAAACATTCGGATTTAGCCGTACGTCTCTCAAGACGGCTAAATCCGAATGATTCTAGTTCATGGTCTTGTGTTAGTTCTAATGATAGTGCTAGTGTAAAACTAGATGTAACACTAGAGCTAGAACTAGAAACATTCGGATTTAGATGCATGTCTTTTAAGACGGCTAAATCCGAATGATTCTAGTTCTAGGTCTTATGTTACTTTTAGTGACAGTACTGGTGCAAAACTAACACTAGACCTAGATCTAGAAACATTCGGATTTAGCCGCACGTCTTTTAAGACGGCTAAACCCGAATGATTCTAGTTCTAGGGCTTATGTTAGTTTTAGTGACAGCGCTAGTGTAAAGCTTGAACTAACCTAGATCTAGAGACATTCGGATTTAGCCGCACGTCTCTCAAGACAGCTAAACCCGAATGATTCTAGTTCTAGGTCTTGTGTTAGTTCTAATGATAGTGCTAGTGTAAAACTNGAAAAAAATTCTACCTACGCCACTGAATTCTTCGTAAAAAGTTGCCCATATAATGTTTTATTTATAATACTCCATCTTTGATAATAAGTGAGATATTCGCGATTGTCGTTTTTGCAAAATTTTCAGTTTTTGCCGATAGGGTAAAAACAAAAGACGATAGCTATTCGGAGTTTTCGGCATTAGCATTTTCTCGAAAAACGAGATCGTGACATGTAAGTTACTTTTTTTCTATCTCTTTTAGTTTCGGAGATGGCCTATGCAGACATCGAAATTGGGACACCCTGTACAGGCATTGGGTATTTTTGCAAAGGAAAAGTTTTGCTTGGAAATGGTCTTCTTAAGAGACGCTTCTACTTTTTGTTGAATAAAAATATACCACAATCTAACGCTGTACTTAAAACTAAAACTAACACTAGACCTAGATCTAGAAACATTTGGATTTAGCCTCACGTCTCTCAAGACAGCTAAATCCGAATGTTTCTAGTTCTAGGTCTTATGTTACTCTTAGTGACAGTACTAGTGCAAAATTAACACTAGATGTAGATCTAGAATCATTTGGGTTTAGCCACACGCCTCTCAAGACGGCTAAACCCGAATGATTCTAGTTCTAGGTTTTGTGTTAGTTCTAGTGATAGTGCTAGTACAATATTAGAACTAACACTAGACCGAGAACTAGAAACTTTCGGGTTTAGCCGCACGTCTTTTAAGACGGCTAAACCCGAATGATTCTAGTTTTAGGTCTTGTGTTACTTTTTGTGGCAGTGCTAGTGCAAAACTAAAACTAAAACTAGATCTAGAACTTGAAACATTCGGATTTAGCCGCACGTCTCTCAAGACAGCTAAACCCGAATGATTCTAGTTCTAGGTCTTGTGTTAGTTCTAATGATAGTGCTAGTGTAAAACTAGAACTAACACTAGACCTAGAACTAGAAACATTCGGATTTAGCCGCATGTCTCTTAAGACGAGACGTTTAGCCGACTAAACGGAATGTTTCTAGTTCTAATGTTAGTTCTAGTCCTAGTGTAAGTCTAGTTTTATTTGTTATTCATCGCTAGAGTGTTGTATATTTGATAGATTGAGCTATAACGGACACTGCGTTCCTCGTATTGAGTTATATCGAGGTTTTACTTGACATGTTGCATTTTATATGGGACAAACTATATTGCATCTTAAGTGAAATTCACTGTATTTTTTTATTGAAATGGAGAGATAATGGAATTAAGAGTCTTAAAATTAGTAGAGGTTTGAATATAACATATTAAATTTTATTGATTAACTCATATATTAATTATTTGTAGCATAGCGTTAGCTTCTTGATGAGGATGGTTTTCGTTGATTTTAAAGACAATTTCTCCATCGTCTTTATATTCAGCATACTTTATTCTGTAAACACTTTCAAAACCTAGATTTAACGCTGCTTTTGTACTAAATAAACTTGTACAATCGATTCGAATCAATTTAAACCCTTTTTCTTTCGCAAAATTGCTAAAAAATAAAAGATTATCATCATAATCACAGCCTTATCAAAATAATAATAATCACATGACTTTCTCAATCATAATTTTAGCCAGTCCTTTTCCTCTATAATTCGGATTAACTGATAACATATCTAAAGAGATCGCCTTTTCTAAGTTATCAATTCTTTGGAAAGTTTTAGCCTCATTTTCTAAGTGCTCCAAAAATTTTGCTACTCTCTCAAATTTTTTTGATTTAATTTTTTGCACTGATTTACTTTGATTTTTATATTTTACACTAATCACAGCAACGCCCGCGATTTCTTTACTTGTCAAATCCGAAACGATTAAAGATAAATCATCGTCAATTAAAGCCTTGGTGTAATTTTCGAGTTCTTTTAAACCTTGTTCGTCCTCGTAGAGTTTTGATGCTTCAACGATGGGTTCGTCAAGAAAAAAATGTTGTTTTAAGAAGTTTAATACTTGCATTCTTTTCGCAGACGTGTTAGCTACCTCAAATGATAAATTCAAAACGTTTCTGTCCATTTTTAAAAGGGAACTAAATAATAATGCTATGATTCTGAATTGAAATTACATTGTTAACTTAATGTCCCCCCTATTTTTTTGTTAACTGTATCATCAATTTGAATAACACGTCACGTTTCGTGTAATAAAATTGCATTCAAATTGAATAAGTGAAGTGTGCAAAGTTCAAAACATGGTACTATGTAATAATACAGGAAGTATATTTTTATTTTTATTCTAAAAGAAAAAGGTTTATTTAAGTCAAATCAAAATAGGGGACAAAAAAATGTTATGTAACGATTTTCTACACTTGCGTGATGCGTTAAAATTTTAAATAACGATTTAATAACGCAATTAATAGAACGTCGGGTTTAGTAATAACAAAGAGTAAATGCCAAATTTGAAGAAAATGAAACTTTAGCTTCGGGCTAATAATACTTTTATATATTGCGTGTTGGTCTAATACCATAAAAAAAACTCGTTTTAAACATATGACTTTCCATTTCAATTCTAAAGTTATAGGATGAGTCATAACTTCAATAATACAAAATTTTAATTAATACTAAGTAATTGAGAATCTTAAAAAGTCTTATTAGTTTTATAATTTTTATAAATTTCATAATCATGGTCTAGTCAGTTCTGTCAGCATAAATCCACCAAGTTTGGCATCCTTGAAGTCTGTATTTGAAACCAACTCAAAGACACTCATCTTTTATCTCTATTCATCTCTATCCACCAGTATGTAGGACAACCAGACACACTCGTTTTAGTTGCAATCAAACCTTTTAGAAGCAATTTTTAGAAATAATTTTCACTTTTAGAAGCTGTTAGAAGCAATTAATATCCCTGACTATACTTTAAATCATACTTGGTCACGTACAATACTTTTGAACGACATTTTTGAAGTCGGCCGAGATTATTTATGTGGATGTAAGAAATCCAATTAATAAAGTTTTCAGCACATTTAATCGCCTTGGCCGCAAGCAACCTCAGCCAGAATTGGGGGAACACTAAGAACGACTATGAGGAGAAATAACACTGTGAAGACGCGGAAATCAAAAATATGGTGCATACTAAGATGGAGATTTTGAGCGCTGAAATACACTATGAGATCAGAGAAGAAGCAAAGAAATTCGTTAGGAAGATAGTGCAGATGGGTGCACGCAGGAGAAAGACTCTGAAATAAGCACATTTTAAAAATGGAAAAGAATAGACTGTCAACGATTGCAAATATTACCAATTGTCATATCTGTTCTAATCAATCATATAGTAATAAAAATATGTCAAATTGATATTTCGTTTCGTTCGATCAAAAAAAATATCTCATAAATCATGGCCATTAGATATTTATTTACCCAAATTCGTCATTTCGGGATGAAATCATTGGAGAATTTACAAGTGCAAGTCATACGCCAGGGTAATCGCGGAAAAGCGAGAAAATTTCTTCGGCAACATTTCTACGATAAGGATCCTTTGTTAGTTTCGTTAAATCTACATAAAAGTCCATCGGGTTTACGATCTTATGAAAAATTTCTAGAAGAGGCGTTCAGATCGGAGATGTCTCTAATAATGGTAAACCGTGATAAAGAAATAGTAGGGATAAGCTTAAATCGGATTATTAGCGAATACGGATATTGTTTCCGTTTTCACGATGAACGTTGTCAAAAAATAGCTTATTTGGTGGAGGCGGTTGATGAAAAATGTAAACTGTTTCAAACATTTGCCATAGATCAATACGTGAAAATGGAAGCTTTAACTGCAGATCCGACCGTTGAAGGTGATACAATTCAAAGGAAACTTATTGCTATGACAAAACATCTTGCTCATGAAAGAAATATGTCTTTAATTCGGATGGACACCACTGGAAGTCATCACGCAAAAATTGCCCGTAAATTAGGATTTACACCAATTTATACGGTTAATTACGAAAATTACATTCTTGATGATAAACCCGTCTTTCAACTAATTTATCCAAACACCGGTTATTCCGTTTTTGTACAGACAATTCACAATGAAAATAACTCGGGTATTAAAAGAAAAAAATCTGCACCTACTTTTACTCGCACACCAATTAACGACCAAATATAACTTCAAAAAATTAACAAAAAATTGTTTGTAATTTTAAAAATTCCCGTTGGGCTGCGTTGGGTAACTAAAAATAGTTAAAATTAAAATAATTCGAATTCATAAAACGTATTTGTCGGGAGAACTATGTACAACAATATTACTAATATGGAGTTAAAACGAAATAAAATACAATGAGGTTAAGTAATTGAAAGATTTTATTAAAAATAAGATATTTGATGTGAAACTTTTAAATACTTTTCTTCATAACATACAACAAAAATGCCTGTTTTTATTGTTTTATTGAATTGTTAATTATTACTATTTTTTTTAAAATTGTTATTAGATCACCTAATTGTCGTAAAGGCCACTTTACAGTTCGCAAGTTTCATTGCCGGCAAGAAATATTGCACGTTAATTTATTTTGCACGCATGCGCAAATGACGCATTCTTTTTGATATTCTTGCACTTGCAGATGATATATTTGGACATACAGGTGTCCCACGTAAGCAACAAAGTACATAAATGGCATTAAGGAGCTGAGATACGCAGTTCTTTCTTAGGTATAAGTTGTAGGAAATTTAGCACACGTAGAAGCTTTTTCTAGCAATTAACACTGTGCCCTTCAAATCTAAATTTCTTGGCGACTGATCGAGCAAGAAAGTTAAAATTTGTGACAGTTGCTGCTTGGATATCCTTAAATAGAGTGCCATTGACTACATCGGTCTATCTTATACAGGATGTTCAAAAACGTAACTACTGTTTTATATTCAATTGCAAAAAAGTCGAAAATTTTAAATGGTAATCAAGTCTTCAGTACATGTCCTTATACCTATGAGTTGTAGTTTTTAAGATATTGTGGAATTCATCAATATTATGCAAAGTATGGCAAATCTTGTTCATTTTTTCATTAGTAGGCCATAAAATAAGACGATAAATAATTTTCAACCAAACTTTATTTATAAGTGTTAAAATATCTGCCATCTGTGTTTTATCCATAGATGAAGCCGATTTACAAATTCGGCTTGCACATTATCTTGTGTTTCAGCAGAGATATTTCTAAAGCTTTCCCTTATTCTATTCTTCATATCTTCTTTCGTCGTTGGAATATTAGCTTACCACTTGTGTTTTGACATATCCCCAAAGGAAGCGGGGAGTTAGATTAGGTAATCTTGCTAGCTACGGTATTGGACCTCCACGACCAATCGAATGTCTTCCATATCCAATATTTAAAAAGTTTTGAAAAACGTGTTGAAATATCATTTTTTTTTCTAGTTTCTAAATCTACATCCTTTAGCAACTCTGGCAACTCTTCTTCTAAAAATGTTTTGCAAATTTGTTCCGCCAGTATGCTTAATTATTTTACGGTTAAATATTCCGCCCCAAACATTTAACCACCATACATTTTGATTATTTACGCGCCTTAGAGGAGTTTTGATTGCATAATATGCATTATTATTATGTCGGTTTACTAACCCATTACTTTTAAAAGTAGCTCCATCACTAAATAGAATTGGTGATATAAAAAGAGGGTTTTCATTTATTTAATCTAAAGTTGTCGTACAGAAAGCTACTCTGTTAGCAAAATCATCTCCATGAAATTCTTGGTGGTAGTTGTGAAGCCTTATAATTCAGTTTAGTGAGCTTTTACTCATATCTGTTGCTCTAGCGATCTGTCGTATACTCACATACGGATACTCTTACAAACTTAATAAAACATTTAGTTCGTTGTTCTCTTCTAGAACTACATACGACTTTTTTCGACGTTTAGGTATGTCGACACTTCCAATAACTCCAATATCAGTTCATTATCGAAACATCGCCTGCTCGGAAGTCGGGCATTTATAAACACTCTGTATAAGATAGACCGATGTAGCCAATCTCTCTCTATTTAAGGATATACAAGCCAATCGTGTTAGATATTGCCGCAATAACTTCGTGCAAGATACCTTACATGCAATAAAAATTGCTTACTGTAAAGTGGCCTTAACCCATGCTTGAAATATGCTGTTAGTGTACTCACAAAAAGAGACGATTGGTTAAAATTTACTAAATACAGTTAGTCTAAGCGATGACTCAATATTTTATATGAACTCTATTTCAATGTTTCTGCTGAGCCCTTCACGTAAAATAATAATAATAACATTTATTGAGCTTTCAAATGTTTTACAAGTAACAAAAGAAAGTATGAAACAGATAAAGCACCGTCAAGAGAAAAAAAGAAAACTATATAAATATATACAAAACAAAAGCAATGTATATAAATAGAAGAGAACATTATATAATTTACAAAACTAAACATAAGACTCCATCTCCGAAGATGGTAGTTGAAGAAACTCCTCCACATATACAGTATTCCATACGACGCTCCACTATGAAAGTTGGCAAAGTAGGTTGTTCTGGCAGCCTCATATCATAGCTATAGCCCGTATGCGCCTGACCGTAAATATTGCTACAGCCAGGCATCTTTGTAGATATTCAACATTTGAGTTCCAGCTTAGGTTTGACATAACATATATCCACAGGAATTTAATAGGTTGTTGCTCCCGTCCCTCAATTTTAGTTGTTAATAGTAGTTTTTGCGTCTTTTCGACATTAACTGTTGGCCACAAACCATTCCGCAGCTTCAGCTATAACAACTTCTGACTTATTTTCAAGTTCGACTCTATCTTTCGACGTTAGCACAAAAGATGTATCATCAGCATATATATAAATGCCATCAGCTCAGATGTTAACAGGAAGATCATTTATGTAAATAATGAAGAGCATTGGGCCCAGAATTGATCCTTGTAGGACACACACCAGATATAATATTAGTAACATCCGAAGTTCGACCATTCCACTCTACACACTGCATTATATTGTTAAGATAACTACGAATCATTTGATTTGGTAGACCTATTATACCATAATGTTCCAATTTATTCAACAGAATTTCATGTTGGACGCAATCAAAAGCCTTTGACAAGTCACAACATAATAATTGAACATCCTCCTTCTCGTCAAACCAAGCTAGTTAGAGCTGAAGTAATAGAATTTTATCCCCGGTAACCGTGCTGAGCTTCATTAAATAATTTGTTACTTTTCATATACTCAAGAAATCTGCTTTTTAATAGAGATTCGAAGATTTTTGAAAAAACAGGAAGTATAGAAATGGGTCTATAGTTTTTATACTTTCCTTAATGTATCTGTTTACTTTGTTGCAGAGTGCTTAATCACAATGTAGTCGAGTATGGTACTTGGGTTGGGTTGGGATTATTTCTTATATAAACAGAAATAAGCTCGGCCAACTTCAAAGACATCAGCTGTCATAAGTATTATACGTGATACTTGGAGCTGTCGACTTCGAAGACGTCGGTAGTGCAAAAAAAATTGATACAAATTGTAGNATAAGATATTTGATGTGAAACTTTTAAATACTTTTCTTCATAACATACAACAAAAAAGCCTGTTTTTATTGTTTTATTGAATTGTTAATTATTATTATTATTTTAAGAATTGTTATTAGATCGCCTAATTGTCTTAAAGGCCACTTTACAGTTCGCAAGTTTCATTGTCGGCAAGAAATATTCCACGTTAATTTATTTTGCACGCATGCGCAAATGACGCATTCTTTTTGGTATTCTTACACTTGCAGATGATATATTTGTACATACTACTGGCTGTCCCACGTAAGCAACAAAGTACATAAATGGCATTAAGGAGCCGACATACGCAGTTCTTTCTTAGGCATAAGTTGTAGGAAATTTAGCACACGTAGAAACTTTTTCTAGCAATTAACACTGTGCCCTTCAAATCTGAATTTCTTGGCGACTAATCGAGCAAGAAAGTTAAAATTTGTGACAGTTGCTGCTTGGATATCCTTAAATAGAGTGCCATTGACTATATCGGTCTATATCGACTATATCTTATACAGGGTGTTCAAAAACCTATGAGTTGTAGTTTTTGAGATATTGTGGAATTAATCAACATCATGCAAAGTGTGGCAGATCTTGTTCATTTTTTATTGTAATTATTATTAATTAGTAGGCCATAAAATAAGACCATAAATAATTTTCAACCAACCTTTATTTATAAGTGTTCAAATATCTGCCATCTGTGCTTTATGCATAGATGAAGCCGATTTACGCATTCGACTTGCACATTATCTAGTATTTCAGTAGAGATATTTCTAAAGCTTTCCCTTATTCTATTCTTCATATCTTCTTTCGTCAATAAAAGAAAGTATAAAACAGATAAAGCACCGCCACGAGAAAAAAAGAAAAAAATATAAATATATACAAAACAAAAGCAATGTATATAAATAGAAAAGAAAATTATATAATTTACAAAACTAAACAGAAGACTCCATCTCCGAAGGTGGTAGTTGAAGAAACTCCTCCACATATGCAGTATTCCATACGACGCTCCACTATGAAAGTTGGCAAAGTAGGTTGTTCTGGCAGCCTCATATCCAGCTATAGCCCGTATGCGCCTGACCGTAAATATTGCTACAGCCAGGCATCTTTGTAGATATTCAACATGAGAGTTCCAACTTAGGTTTGACATAACATATATCCACAGGAATTTAATAGGTTCTTGCTCCCGTCCCTCAATTTTAGTTGTTAATAGTAGTTTTTGCGTCTTTTTTTTTCGTCTTTTTGGGGCCAACATTAATGTTGGCCCCAAACCATTCCGCAGCTTCAGCTATAACAACTTCTGACTTATTTTCAAGTTCTACTCTATATTTCGACGTTAGCACAAAAGATGTATCATCAGCATATATATAAATGATCAGCTGAGATATTAATAGGAAGATCATTTATGTAAATAATAAAGAGCATTGGGCCAAGAATTGATCCTTATAAGACACCAGATATAATATTAGTAACATCGGAAGTTCGACCTTTCCACTCTACATACTGCATTCTATTATTAAGATAACTACGAATCATTTGATTTGGTATACCTCCTATACCATAATTTTCCAGTTTATTCAACAGAATTTCATGTTGGACGCAATCAAAAGCCTGTGACAAGTCACAACATTATAATTGAATAACCTCCTTCTCGTCAAACGCACCTGCCACAGCATCAACCAAGCTAGTTAGAGCTGAAGTGGTAGACTTTTGTCCCCGGTATCCGTGCTGAGCTTCATTAAATAATTTGTTATTTTCCATATACTCAATAAATCCGCTTTTTAATAGAGATTCGAAGATTTTTGAAAAAACAGAAAGTATAGAAATAGGTTACATCAACGTATATAGGTCTATAGTTTTTATACTTCCCTTAATGTATCTGTTAACTTTGTTGCAGAGTGCTTAACCACAATGTAGTGGAATATGGTACTTGGGTTGGGTTGGGTTGAGATTATTTCTTATATCAACAGATATAAGCTCGGCCAACTTCAAAGACATCAGCTGTCATAAGTGTATACGTGATGTATACGTGTATACAGCTGTGTATACGTGATACTTGGAGCTGTCGACTTCGAAGACGTCGGTAGGGCAAAAAAAATTGATACAAATTGTAGCTCAACTTAGGGCAAATATTCTGCTACTTCACCTAATTCTGCTGATTTGATGAAGTAGACTGCAATAAAGATCTGACATGAATGTATCAAGTTTCCACCAAAACTTCATTACATCTGAATCAATTCTGCATCAAACCTGTTTCATGATAGCTTGATAACTTTATAACACCATTTTAAGCAATATTTAAATAAATTTTCCAACAATTTTAATCCACGTTTTAAATATTCTTGAAATCATTTGTAATCATTTGATTGAATCATCTTGTTTACACAAGTTTAGCCAAATCGATTGTTTTTTAAGGTGGGTTAAGTGATTTATAACGTTTATTTAAACATAGATTACAAACTGATAAGATTTTAGTAATAGAAGGCTTTTGTATTTGTGTGTAATTTATACAGTATGTTACAAAATGAGAGGGAAACAATTATAAAGTTTTTGGATTTATTATTTCCACAGAAAGGATATTGTATGAGTGGAAAATACTTAGCACGACATGTAGTGGAACAATACTTTCCACTTCGTTTCCATAGCAATCGCTACACTTCTGGAATGACGTACACTTCCCGAAAAATAGGTCAAGAAAAATGTTAATCCGAAATTCTCTTTTAAAATTATATCTTAAATAAAATAAAACAAAATTTTTATCACCTTATTGTTGCACACTTCATTATTTATTTATTCAAGAGATGAAAAACATTAGTAACGCAATAATACCTTTTATTTTAAGTTTTTACAGTTCAATTTAGTTCGGTTTGTTACAAAATAATAATTTAAATTTTACATTCGTTCTAAAACGATTTGAGATATACTTGTTATTAACGAACAGTGAGATAACTACTGAAAAATAAAAATAGGCGATTTTATTTCACTGAGCACATTGACAGATTAGATAAACTCGGAACAATCCAAACATGATGATAATTATTAGTAATTTCAGGGTGTCAGTGCGAGCATTACATTCATTCAGAACATATTATCGCGTTTTCATATCAAAAAATGAACCTGTCATATGCTATTTTAACGAAAAGTGATACGCCGAAAGTGCAGCAGTTTTTGAAAAAGTTTTTCTACAAAGATGAACCGTTGAATGTTTGTGTAAAATTATGGGAAAGAGAAGAGACCATTAAATCGTTAGAAATTTATTCAACGTTACCTATAAAATATAATTGTTCGTTAAAAGCCTTAAATGATAAAAATGAAATAGTTGGAGTGTGTTTAAATAAAATTAGAACAAAAATTGAAACGGATGATGTAAACTTTGAAGATCCCGTTTTCTCACAAATCGTTGGAATTATGGAGAAAGGCGACACAGAGTGTAAAATTTTTGATAAATATCCAAATATCGATCAATATCTTCAACATGATATTGTTTCCGTTGACCCAAATATTAGAGGACAAGGAATTGCTACAAAATTACTAGATATGTCTAGGTACAAAACAAAAATTAATTTTTTCAATAAAAATTGTTCTTAATTTTTTTTCAGAGATGTGGCAATTAAGAGAGGAATAAAACTATTAAGAGTGGATTGTACAAGTTTATTTAGTGCCAAAGCGGCCGAACGATTGGGATTTGAACGAATTTACACCTTGAAATACTCAGATTATAAAATAAACGGCAAACAAGTGTTTAAACCGGAAGAACCACACACCGAATTTTGTGTTTATTGTAAAAGAATCGGGTAAATTTGTTATACGTTTTGTTGTCGCTTTGTACAAATATAGCTATAGATCCAATTTCTTGCTTATCTTTTTCATTTATATTATATTTTATAAATTAGGTGGAAAAGTTCAAAGTTATGAGAAGATCTCACTACAAACTTGGAATGGAAAATCATACTCCTGATAAATAGGCAACTTTATGTACAAATTTTTTATTTTTCCAAATAAAATAAATTAGAATTAATAAATTTCAAATGTATAATAATAAGTGACATTATTTCAATTTTCCAAAAAATGCTAGGTAAACTTAGTTTTCTTTGAAAACGTCAATCATGGCGAGAAAGAATAGTGCTCATTGTATAGGGGCCAAGCTACCCTTATCACAAGATGTATAAGTTTGAACATAGTGGATGATCTAAGCATGATGAGGCATCTAAGCTGTCACAAACGGGTGGGCAACACTCAGCAGCACTGTAGACAAATCCTAGGAGCGAGCACAGCAGGGTTCATGTGTGAGGAATATGTGAGGGAGTCACACCCAAATACTTTGAAGTTGAGTTGTGCGCTACAGAGTGACCACCAAATCGAATATCTAGCTGATGTGTGGCCTCTTTGTTATTAATGTCGAAACACTTGCACTAGATTAGGTGTTAATCTCCATTTTCTGTAATACTCCCTCATCACAATCAAATCGTTAGTCGGAATTCCCTCTGTCTCTTCCACTGTGTTACGGCTCATAGCCAGGGCATGTCTGTAATATAGAGATTGAAAAGAGTTGTTGCAATAATATTTATATAAGGCTCTGCGTTTGTTCCAAAATGACACGGAAGGATCTGCTAGTCAACATGTTATTCGGCAGCAACCCCAGTGCCTTACATTCACTACAGTGTTTATCCACATAACTTTGGACACCAAACGTAGGTAAAAAGAGCGTGTAAACAAGAACCCCATAAAAAATACTTATTTACAATCAGAACTTGAAACCAATATGGCACTATGACACCTAGCTTTGGGGCTGTGCCAGAGACTTGAACATCAAGTGTATTCAACTATTCCAGACCAAAGTACTACGAAACATAGTTAATGTCAGTAGGTAAGGAACCGTTAAGAATTTAAAAAGTTTGCTGAAAAGCAATAAAGGGCAGTCCTTCCAACCATTCGGTATTGTAGTCCGCTGTTAGGTCCACAAAGATGGCAGGTGTCCTTCCCGATTCTGAAAGTCAGCCTCGATATAAGTTGTAAAGTTGAGTACATGATCCACTCAGATGCAGCCCCATCTGAATCCTATCTGTTTGAGCAGGAATCTTATCACCAATTCGCTTTCAAATTAAGCGTTCTAGGAGTTTAGCTATCAGGCAGATCCGCCGACTTTCCCTGGTTCAGGGTGGAGATGATCTTCTTAAATTCGTTTGGTATAATTAAGAATAAATTCGTTTTTTAGAATATCAGTAAAATCCTGCTAGTCAATTCTTGGCTGCACGTAACCAGGAACTCGTTATGGATTCCGTCGAAGTCTGAAGTTTTGGTGATTATCATCTATTGGAGCACGCTGGAGACTTCATCAGCTCTCTCTTAATACGTCTGGTGAGATCCTTATCTTTGGGACCTCTTGACTCTAATAAATATGGTTGGCTACTTAGTTGGACTCATCTTAACAATAGGTGGACTTTCCCCTAGCTTCTTTCTGCTTGAGTGTTTCAAATTTATTACACCACTATCAAGGTATTTTGTCCAGATATTTTCTTTCGCTTTCAATATTCCATCCAGGTATATAGTCCTTGCGAAAAGGTCTGGGGATGTATCTTTTGGCAAACGAAATTAGACAAGGAGTTCGTACCAAAGTTAGGTTCCTGGTCAATCTCAGCCTAAAATTGGAAGTGGAATTGTACTGTGTAATCTTATGATGGTCATGATAACGAATACACTATTACAAGTTCCTTATGTGGCCTTTTCGGATTAAAAACCTGTTTTCCTTCGATGTGATAATCAACATAGTGAAGTTTACAAGTTTCAAGAAAGCCAGCCTTCATAGCAGTCAAAGATGAATAGTTACTCGAACAAATCAACAGAATCAATTTTATTTTATTATTTTTAGCATAATCCCTAAAAAAGGATCGAAACGTTCGAATTTAACTATTACTCATGCATTTTTGCAACAAATTTTTAAATATACGATAATTCAAATGGTATTTTATCAAAAAATTACAACACTTGTGAGGTGTTTCTGCAAAAATGTTTGGTATAAAAGCCGAATTAAACGTTCGACTATCATTCCAGCTGTGTGCAGCTCTTCCAACTACTTCTACGATCATCGCAACGAAAAACAACTTTATTTCAACCATGTACACCTTCAGGGTTAAGGTAAATTTTAAACTTTTTTAATATTTTTGTCTTAAACATTTTTATTTTTCATTTAGAACACCACAATGTCCATCTCCCTTCGTAAACTAAACGTTGGCATGGTTCATTGCAAAGATATTCCTAGGGTAGTCGACTTTTTAATGGAAAATTATTTCCCAGCCGAGCCACTTTCGAAATCTTTATCTTTAATTGAAGATCAACAAGCCATTGAGGAATTAAGAAAATTCTGCACTAATCTCCTTTACCAAAACGTCTCCGTTGTAGCAACTACCAGCGAAGGAGACGTTGCCGGGGTTGCTTGTAACGCGGTTATTCGCAAGGATCAACCTCCAGTCACATGGGAAAATGCTTCGTTAACAAAAATCGAAAATTTCATAACCAATGCAACCGAAAAAGCCGATATTTTCGGCAAACACCCCGAATTCGAACAATATCTTCACGTCACCTTCTTGGCGGTTAGCGAAGATGATCGTGATCTAGGTTTGGTGAAACGCTTAGTTGAGTACAGCAAAGAAGTTGCTCTGAAATTAGGTTTGAAATTGATGAGAATTGATTTTTGCAACACCGATTGCGGAAAAGTAGCCCAGAAGAAAGGTTGGACCTGTTTAGCCGAGATCGTTTACAATGAATACAAGGTAGACGACGAACTTGTTTTTAAAGGTGAAGATGGCAACGAAGCTTTTGGAGTTTATGTCATGAAAATTGAAAATGCTGGATTTTTGAAAAGTTTTCCATCTCCGATAGCTCCACCAACTCCTTCGATCGCCGAGGCTAATCCCGCGGTACCAGCAGAAGCTCCAGAAACTGAAGCGGCTCCAGCAAAAGAATAAAATAAAATGTTGATATATTTTCAAAACATGAATGAATGAATAAAATAAATATTATTAAAAAAATTCTCTCTTTATAAATTGATACATATTACAAATTAAGTAATTCTCAACTCTTTAAACCTATAATTACGATAAGCTTATTCAATATTGCAGAAAAAACTTATTAAGGTACTAAAGTAAGGTTTACGTAACACCCAGCTTAGGGACTGTGCCAGAGACTTGAACATCAAGTGTATTCAACTATTCCAAAACAAAGTACTACGAAACATAGTTAATGTCAGTAGATACGGAACCGTTAAGAATTTAAAAGGTTTGCTGAAAAGCATGAAACTAGATTTCCACCTCCACGATAACGCAAAGGCTCTTAAACGCTAGACAACAAACACCACGTCCGAAGATTAATGAGACCATATCATCTCGTGTAGTGTTTTATGTATAAGAGCTGAGCACATTGCGTGAGCACAAAACTAGACGACATCAATGGATAGACCCTAATTGATAAGTAAAAAAAATCCTATCCGTTCGAGCGGTAATCTTATCACCAATTCGCTTTCAAATGAGGTGTTCTGACGTTTAAGATGATCTTCTTAAATTCCTTTGGTATAATTAAGAATAAATTCGTTTTTTAGAATATCTGTAAAATCCTGCTAGCCAATTCTTGGCTGCACTTAACCAGTAACTTGTTATGGATGCCGTCTAAGTCCGAGGTTTTGCTGATTATCATCTATTGGAGTACGCTGGAGACTTCATCAGCTCTCTCTCTTAATACGTCTGGTGAGATCCTTATCTTTGGGAGCTCTTGATACTAGTAAATATGGTTTGCTACTTGGTTGGACTCATCTTAACAATAAGTGGACTTTCCCCTAGCTTCGTTCTGCTTGAGTGTTTGAAATCTATATCACAACTATCGAGGTATTCGTGATATTTTCCATTTTCCAAGGAGCTCTCAATATTCCATCTAGGTACTTGCGACAATCTCTGGGGATATGTTTTTTGGCAAAGTGGAAGTGGAAGTCGAAGTGGAAGTGTCCTGTTTAATCTTATGATAAACATGATTACGTAGGACATCCTAGAACCACCACTCTAGAAGGATGATATCGCCAAGACTCCAATCGAACTCCAGAACACACTCTTCGTATGCATCAAAACTTTAGATAGTGCGGGACTTAAGATGAGCAGATTAAAGAAAGAGTGCTTAGAATGCGATTTGTGGGAGCCAACGTGTAGCATAGAGGCTTAGCAGAAATGGCGATCCATAGCTGAAGTGACCTGAATATGCCTATTCATACAAAGAGCAAAGTGTATGCTGTATAGGACAGAATGCTGTGACTGCGAAACATACGGAGAGTTTTCTAAAATAGTACGGCTGCGTAAATATGCGAAAAATACGATAAATAATTATAATTTTTTTTATTATTAATTTATTAAATAATTATTGAGTGACAAAAATGGACAATGCGAAAACTACAACTTCCTTATGTGGTGGTTTCGGATTAAAAACCTGTTTTCCTTCGACGTGATAATCAACATAGTGAAGTTTATAGGCTTCAAGAAAGCCAGCCTTCATTGCAGACAAAGCTGTATAGTTACTCGTACAAATTAACGTAATCAATTTTATTTTATTATTTTTAGCATAATCCCTAAAAAAAGATAATTAACATAAATTTATATTAAAAAGAACCAAATTTTTTACTTTGTTAAGGTAACCATCCACTGCGAAAGTCCTTTACCCACATAATTCAAGTCAACCGCTACAACTTCGATATTTAAAAATTTATCTGTGTCGAATTTTTTGGTAACCATACATTCCAAATAGACGTGATTATAAAATTTTGCGAGTGTACAAACATGCGGGTTTTTACACTTCCATGGAGTAAACATAGAACGTGTCTCGATCTTGTTCAAAATTACAGCAACGATTTTATTTTCATTATTTACAAGCATATAAGAACATTTATCTTGAATCGCATGCGAGGCGTAAAACTCGCTTTGTTCACTTACGGCGTCCGGAAGCCGTTCGACTCTTAAAGAAACATTTAACGGCTCATAGGGGTAATAATGTTGTGCTAAGAACTCAACCAATTTGTCTTTATCCGCCGATTCAATTAATTTTGGCGAGATTCCTTTTTGCGTATTCTTAAATAAATTTTAAAAATATTTAATCACATTAGAACAATATTTATGTGGTATATACCTGGGTATATCGTCTTACAGGAAATCTCTTCGCATAATTTAAACAAAATTTTGTAATTTTCTTTAAGGAATTCATTACTTTTAATTTTTTTATAATTTCCAAAATTATTATTTTATTAAAAAATAGTAGACAAATGACAAAAAATTTTGAAAATTCATTATGACGTTTATTTAAATACGTCAATCATAAGTCATAAGAAGTTAATAAAGTTTAATCGAAACGTTCGAATTAAATTATTACTCATACATTTTTGCAACAAATTTTTAAATATACGATAATCAAATGGTATTTTATCAAAAAATTACAACACTTGTGAGGTGTTTCTGCAAAACTTTTTGGTATAAAAGCCGAATTAAACGTTCGACCATCATTCTAGCTGTGTGCAGCTCTTCCAACCACTTCTACAATCATCGCAACGCAAAACAACTTTATTTCAACCATGTACACCTTCAGGGTTAAGGTAAATTTTAAACTTATTTTAATATTTTTATCTTAAACATTTTTATTTTTCATTTAGAACACCACAATGTCCATCTCCCTTCGTAAATTAAACGTTGGAATGGTTCATTGCAAAGATATCCCTAGGGTAGTCGACTTTTTAATGGAAAATTATTTCCCAGCCGAGCCACTTTCGAAATCTTTATCTTTAATTGAAGACCAACAAGCCATTGAGGAATTAAGAAAATTTTGTACTAATCTCCTTTACCAAAACGTCTCCGTTGTAGCAACTACCAGCGAAGGAGATGTTGCCGGGGTTGCTTGTAATGCAGTTATTCGCAAGGATCAACCTCCAGTCACCTGGAAAAATGCTTCGTTAACAAAAATCGAAAATTTCATAACCAATGCGACCGAAAAAGCCGATATATTCGGCAAACACCCCGAATTCGAACAATATCTTCACGTCACCTTCTTGGCGGTTAGCGAAGATGATCGTGATCTAGGTTTGGTGAAGCGCTTAGTTGAGTACAGCAAAGAAGTTGCTCTGAAATTAGGTTTGAAATTGATGAGAATTGATTTTTGCAACACCGATTGTGGAAAAGTCGCCCAGAAGAAAGGCTGGACCTGTTTAGCCGAGATCGTTTACAATGAATACAAGGTAGATGACGAACTTGTCTTTAAAGGTGAAGATGGTAACGAAGTTTTTGGAGTTTATGTCATGAAAATTGAAAATGCTGGATTTTTGAAAAGTTTTCCATCCCCCATAGCTCCACCAACTCCTTCGATCACCGAGGCTAATCCCGCGGTACCAGCAGAACAAGCTCCAGAAACAGAAGCGGCTCCAGCAAAAGAATAAAATAAAATGTTGTTGATACATTTTCAAAACATGAATGAATAAAATAAATATACATATTACAAATTAAGTAATTCTCAAATCTTTAAACCTATAATTACGATAAGCTTATGCAATATTGCAGAAAAAACTTAATAAGGTACTAAAGTAAGGTTTACGTAACGGTTATGACTTATATATCACCCTTCCATAGGTATATAAGGACTCACCTTCCTCTTGATCAACGCTTAGGCTGATGCGTAACAAAGTTTAATCGCACACTCTGTGGTATAAACGGCTTTGATTTTTTAATCTGTATTAGTGGTCGTGATTCCTTAGTCCTTTTGGAATTAGATACTAAAACTGCGCCTACAAGATCGGACCTACAACAGCCCTCCTGAAATCATTTGCCGTTAATCTATCAGGCAAATAGTGTACGGACCTTTTTATGTTTCCATTTCACTGCAAATAGTTTTGTATCACTTGTGTACCAATCGAATGCACCTCTTTGAAGCTGCTTTGAAGCCTATTCACAACCCTAGAACCAAGGCTTTGTCCCATAAGTTGATCCTGGGAATTTCCAGTATAAATGTCGAATTTCAAACAGTATCCCGACTTATCGCAGAGCATCCCTTTTTATGGGTTTCTTGGGCATATATTTTTTTAGCACACTTCTACCTTTAAATTTAATCATTGACTCCTCAAGGTTAATACTTTACTGGTAAAAGACAATATTTAAAGGCTTTTTCTAAATGATCTAACAATGGACGTACTTTATAGAGACGATCAAAATATTCCGCATCACTATTAGGCATAGCAGAGTTGTCATTGAATGCAAATGTCCTTAAAACCAACCTAATCTTTTTTGTGTCATAAGAGAGTTAATGTAAGAATCATATAAGTCTGGTGTACTGAACCAATTATCTTTACAACTTGGTAAGTGCTTGATCCCCATAAGCAAATTTATCCCTAAAAAGGCATTTATTTCTTTGCACGTCGTTCTCCTGTAATGTTTTCTAGTAGGTATTTGTTCTCGGCATAAAAGTTTGTTTGAAAAACTATATGATTTATAAAATTTTCGTCGAAAAATAGTTAAAACAGAGAATATAGATTTAAGAACCTCTGATTTCACCGCAAGGGTGAGGAGAAGAAAATCTTTCCGTTTTACCCCTAATAGGTGGCTGGATAACTGTAGTTTTTTTTTCTATTCTTGCTTGATGTACGTACAGATAAAGGTTTGTTGTCATCTGAATCAGTTCACTGTCAGTCACTGGAATAAATATATTAATATTTGTTATATCTACATCTATATCCCCTAAATCTGACGCGTCACCAAACGGCAAAGAATAAGCGTATAGGTCTTTCTCTCTCTTTCTCTCAAGTTCCTCTCGAGTCATTCCTACTAAGACGAAATGATAGATCGTCATTGCCTGACATTTCCTGCAGACAAATACATTTGTAGCCATTCGGTGGTACAAATATTCAACCAGATAATCAAAATAATTACTGCTTATCAAAAATATATATTTGTAAAACAATATATTCAACTTACCTGAACTGATGTAACACTGTTTCATAGAAAAAAAAAAAACAAATAAAAGATGATTTTTAACGAACTATATACACCAGCTATGCGCTAAATAAGTTTCTGCATGTAATAATGCCGTAATTAGTAATTTACAACGCACTAACGTACGATACAACGATGGTGGTTTAAATTTTTTGCGGCTACGAAAGTAGGAAAATAATTACGAATTGGTGGTCTACATTATACACCACTGCGTCAGTTAGGTCAAAATTTAGGTGGTTTATTTTTTGTACCACTGCGGCGGTAAGAGTTAAGAGACTAGGTCTAGTGTTAGTTCTAGTGCTTGTCTTGGTTCTAGTTTTAGTTCTTCCACAAATATCTGAGCTTATGATCTAAGTAAGCTAAGTTGTATGGATTCAACATAAAAAAGTAAATAATAAAACTCGAAGGATTCATTTTTATCATTACTAATATTATTATTATATCTTACCTTCTGCTGGCAATAACCAATCTAATCATCTGCGTTTTTTAACAACTTTTCTAAAGTGATGTACCTTTCTCTTCCAATTTCTTGGTATATTACACGATATGGTATCACTATCACCATCAAACATTTTCAAAGAACAGTACGTACCGTAAACCGCGAACTTTGTATAATTTCAACACTCGTGAACAAGCCGCACAAGTAACATCTAGGGGAACCATAATAATGTTCACTCCATCCAATTTCATTGATTGAATCTTGAAATAGACACTTCGCGAGTCTTTTTTTGATTAACTAGATACGACTTGAAAATCACCCGTTTGTTTAAGGTTAAGTTAAAAATTAACTGACGTGCACTATTTGTTGACGAAAAAACAAGTGTTCTTTCTTCCAAAAATGCGAGCCTTTATATAGACTACCATCGCCTACTTTGATCATTTTTTGCTTTCGATTTGAATCCCTATCTCTAATTGGTCAAGAAAATATAAGGGGTTGATCAAAAGAAAAAATTAAAGGAAAAACATAAGTTTTTGAACGTATCAATTTATGATTTTATTAATTTAAACTATAATTATTAATAAAAATTGAATAAATTGATCACCACTAAACTTTGTTTTAGGAAAAATGTGGATTTTCAAGAAATTCTAACTAATAATAAATGAGATCGAATTAAGAAACTCGAATTGTGTTTTTAACTAAAAAGTACTTTAAAATATACAAGAATTAATTGAAATCTAATGAAAAGAAACATGTTTTTTAAGATTTTATTCGAATTTAACAGTTTTAAATAGTATTCAATAAATTTTATTTTAATAAAAGCTGTCAAAAAATTTGGGGTTATAGAAACATAAATCGAAGAATTGAATCTACAGAAACATTAGTATTAATAGCAATTTAGATTTTTTAAATGTGATTTACATGATTTATTATAATTCACATCATAATATTGTTTCAATTAAGAGCCCTAGTTTGGTAATTATGAGGCAATGGTTTTTGATATAAGATGGTTCGTTGAAGAGGAAGAAGTATTCTTATTGTGAAGTGAAGCTATTAAAATAAGTAAAGAGTGTATATTAACTTGTACTTCTTAAACAACTCATGCACAAAGTATTACAAGTTATTGCTATAAATATTATGATTAACATTTAGATAAAAAGTGCATAAAATGTTACATATTCATGAGGATATTCTGGATTAATAATGATTTCTCCATTAACTTTATAATTTTTATATTTCTGTTTATAAATAATGTTAAAATCCAACTCCAATAACATTTTATTGGCATGAAAATTATTGCATTGAGAAATGATTAATTTATGGTTCAACTTTTCAGCTAAAATTCTAAACAATCAATTGATGCTCTTATTAAATTTGTTGCAAATCGTTGTTTTGGATAATTTTTAGCCAGAATACAAACACTTATCCTAAAATATGCTTCCAAATTTGGGTAATTATCAAAAATACCAATTTTTTCTCGTATATAATTTCTAAATTATTTGTATTTGTAGGTAGGTGAACTGGTTTCATTTCAACATCAAATCCTTTTTTAATGATATGGTTACCACAGATTCCCACAATTTCTGGTCCATTCAACATAATTATCAAAACATCTTGTTCCATGTAGTGTTTATCAAAAAATATTCCAATGATTCAGGACTACTCATAACTTCTAAATATTTACTGACCGGTCTGTGTAAAAATTCTTTTCCAAAAAATATAAGCAACGTTTAATTTCATCTTTCTTAATTATCCTAGTTAAAAGATTTGAATTGGAATTAAAATTTTCTTCTGCAGTTAACATATCCTTTTAGGTGTTAGGTTAAATTTATAAAATAAAATAAATACATACATTGTTTTTTTGTGTTTACATGCTTAATGAGACTTTGAGTTATTGCATTCTTTCTACTTACATAGAAAGAATGACAATTATTAAAAATATTACAAATAACTAAATTTAAAAAATACATATGCAACCAAATACACATCAAATTATACAATGTCAACCATAAAATGACGTAAATAAACCAACTTTGTAGCCAAAATGACGTGATAATTTGGTTTTGGGAAAGAATAAAATGCAGGCAAAATTATTTAGTGCAAAATGGGCATTGTTAACAACTAAACGTTTTCAATTTTCGACAGTTACCAGGCAAGTGAAAAGAATACAAATAAAACGTGTGATAATGAATAAAAATAAAAAAACTGGGTGTTTTTTAAACGTTTTTGTCCAGAAACAGGCACCAGAGTCATTACGACGTATTAAAAGTGAAAAGGGATTGTTCCAACAGAGAGATTAAAGATGCTTTTATTAAACTATCGAAACAAGTAAATCGAACATCACCGTTTATTTAAATTTTAATTTGATTTTATTAATTAGTATCATCCGGATGCAAACAAATCTCCAGATTCCAACAAAAAATTTGTACGAATTGTTGAAGCTTACAACATTTTAAGTAAACCAAATTTAAGGAGAAGTTACGATTTAGGAATGATTGTTACAAAAGATGAAGCAACAGGACAATACTACAACCCTGTTTCACAAAGGTACATAATAAATTAACTAAACAATTTTATTTTAAATCATTTTTAGAACTCCATTTGATGACCCAATCTTTTGGCATAATCGTGATAAATCCCAAGACAAATATTACGAAACTAAACCATACTATGGTATTAAAGGATTAAAAAAACTTCCAAATGTTGTTATTGTTCTAATTTGTCTTTTGGTTACTTTAATCGGGGTTGTTCTTCAAGTTATCGCAATAAAGTAACGTTTATTTTATATTTAAGACTTAAAATTTAACAAGTAATTTTTAGTGCATCTGTAACGTTAAAAAGAGACAAGTTAATAAAAGTATCTGCTGAAAACGAAGCGATATTAAAAGAATTGCAAGAGGAAGCTGAACGAAATGGAAACAAAGTACAATTAGAAAGATTACAGAAACGATGGGAAGAACAAAATCATATTAACAATGCAGAACTGTGATATTAATGTAATTAAAAGGTTGTAAATAAAAAAGATTTAAGTTTTAAACATAGCCTCATAATTTAAGTCATAATTTTTTAATGACAGATTTATTTTAGAAAAGAAACACATTTCAATGTTTAGAAAGAGCTTAATGTGTTTCAAATGTATCCTAAATACAATGTGAGGGACATAATAATAAACAATATATGTATAACGTTGTAAATAGAAAAGATTTAATACATTTTTAAACATAACCTCAAATAGGTACCTGTCATAATTTTTTAACCACTTTTAGTTTTATTTTAGAAAAGAAACACATTTCAATGTTTAGAAAGAGCTTAATGTCTTTCAAATGTATCCTAAATACAATGTGCGGAATATAATAATAAACAATATATAAGGTTGTAAATAAAAGAGATTTAATACACTTTTAAACATAACCTCAAATATGTACCTGTCATAATTTTTTAACAACTTTTAGACTTATTTTAGAAAAGAAACACATTTCAATGTTTAGAAAGAGCTTAATGTGTTTCAAATGTATCCTAAATACAATCTGAGAGATATTACATTATTAAATTATTAACGTTGTCAATTAATAATAAAATGAAAATTTGAGGTGGAAAATCAACTTGTAATGTATCATGAGTAGATACAACACACCTTGTTATACTCAGAAATAGATCTAATGGCTTTTTAGGTTATAAATTTATACAGATTATTAAAAATATTTGGTTTTTTATTAATATTGGATCACTTCACCTTTACTTAAGTACAACATATTAACCCTATCTTATACAAAAAAAGAATGTACTTCATTTCAACCAAATTTACAATCATCAACAAATGGAGCACACTGTTTTATATTCGATCATCACTGTTTCCTTGCTTTGATGGGCTTAAACAGCCATTTGCATCTTTATGGCTGGATATGGATCATATCCAATTAATTCAAAATCTTCAAATTGAAAATCTTCAATGTTGCTCACAGATCGTTTAATATTCAAAGTAGGAAATGCTCGTGGTGTGCGTTTTAATTGCTCTTTTAAAGCAACCACATGGTTTGTATAAACGTGACTATCGCCTAAGGTATGAATAAATTCACCTGGCTACAAAAATAGTCGATTAAAGTACAACCCTATCATAAAAAATAAATATATACCTTTAATCCTGTAACATGAGCAATCATATAAGTAAGTAAAGCATAACTGGCGATATTAAAAGGAACTCCAAGACCCATATCCGCTGAACGTTGATATAATAAACAAGAAAGTTCTCCTTCGGCTACATAAAATTGAACTAAACAATGACAAGGAGGTAATGCCATTTTAGGGATATCAATGGGGTTCCAAGCACACATAATTATCCTTCGATCAGTTGGTTTATTTTTAATAGTATTAATAACATCCATTAATTGATCAATACCTTTATTAGTATAATCAGTGTGCATATTACCATATTCAGCTCCATAATGTCTCCATTGAAAACCATAAATAGGTCCCAAATCGCCTTCTTCACGATCAGTTAAACCAATTGAGTCTAAATATTCCCTGGTGCTGTTGGGATTCCAAATATTCACATTTTTCTTTGCTAAATCTTTAGCGTTGGTACTCCCTCTAATGAACCATAAAAGTTCTTCAACTACACCGCGCCAAAAAACGCGTTTTGTTGTTAATAAAGGAAATATGTTGTTGTGAAGGGAGTAACGCATTTGGGCTCCAAATAAAGCAAATGTACCAACTCCTGTACGATCGTTCCTTTTAACACCTGTGGTTATAATTTTATGGATGTGGTCTAAATATTGATACTCCTCATGTTTTGTTGCAATTACATCACCAGCGGAAAAATTATTCTTAATCAAATTTTCCTTATTCTCATTGCTTTGCCTGCTAGGGTTCACGATAATTTCAATATCAATATTTTTTTCAGATTTAATATTTATACTAAAGGAAAAGGATTTTGAGATGAATATAGGTTGGATTATAAGGGGGAAAATCTTACCAGGGCTCCATTTGCGTGGAATTTTTCGAAGAAATCACAGAAATAATTTTTGCAAGTCGCGCGTTTTTTTGAAACATAACCTTAACTCGAATTGTCCCGCTATTTTACAGATCTGTCAAAAATACCAACTGAAAAACAAAAATCCCAAAATTAATCATAATCAAAAACAATTTTAAATAAAACATCAAAAAATTGATTATTAAAGTTGATAATATTCAACAAAATTAATTTATTTAAATTAATTTCAAAAATTAATTAAAATTTTAAAAAAATCGTTTCCAACCTGACGTCACACTATAGCATTATAGGTTATCCACTAAATTTTGACAAGTGACATTTATTACACATTTGTAAATATGATACAAAAATAATTCCAATTTCACCCTCGAAGCCAAACGGAAAAAGGGTTCCACTTCAAGTCGTCACTTCCTACCGAGATGCTCGTTTTCCAATAACACTTATCGAAACCCGAACCGACAATGCGCGAACTCGTAAGTAGGTAAACAGACAGATTTTTAGAGCAAAAAGGCGACGATTATTTCAACGAAAAGGGTCAGTATGTGAATACTTGACTCTACGTTCGAAAACGCGAACGACATTCGCTCGCGCAAAAAATGGAACTTAAGGTTTGGGTCGAAGGGATACAACGCATCGTTTGTGGGGTTACGGATAGCACAACATGTCAGGTAATTTCAACAAGAAAATAGGCATTTTTAAGGTTTTATCATGCTTTTAAATTTTTAGGACGTCGTTTTTGCATTGGCCCATGCTACCGGCAAATCTGGAAGGTTTACATTAATTGAAAGGTGGAGAAATAATGAAAGGCAGTTAGCTCCACATGAAAATCCACTTAAGGTAATATAAGTTTTATTTCAAGTTTTGTTTTGGTTAAATATTCTTATCTTGTTTGAGTTGATTTAGGTTGTATGCGACTTATTCATCATTTTTGTATGAATGAACTCATTGTAACAAGTTTTATCTAAGCATTTTGAGAAACAATTTTAAGTTCTTTTAATATGAATCATTTTTAATTTATGAAATTTGAAATAAGTTTGATATTATTTTATAGATTTTAATGAAATGGGGTGAATATTCAAACGATGTACAATTTATATTACATTGGAATGAAAGTTCAAAATCTCAATTTAATAATACAAAATCAACAAAAAGTGCAATTCCAATAACACCACCACCAACAGCACCAAATATAATTGTTGATAACACCATTGAGAAACAAAACAAAGATTTACAAAAATTAATCAGGTAAGAATGTATAAATTTTGAGTACACATTTATGTCAATTTTATATTTTTTGTTATTAGTACTAATTATCAGTCAAATCTTGACAATGTGGGGATAGTGAAAGGTATACCACAGGCTCGTTCGAATCCGTTAGAAGTCCGCGAATACAGCTCCCCAAAAAAGGGTGGAAGCCAGTGTGATTCGGATTCCGTGTCCGATTCTCCTAGTCAACGCATTGCGCCCCCTTATAAAGATCCACCGGCTCCACCACCTTACAGAGATCCCCCACCGCCTACCTCATCCGTAAACAGCGAAAAGCTTCGTAATATTTTACAAGAATGCAATAAATTGGATAAGAATAAACTCAATAAAAACGAAGAAAGCGTTCATTATAACGCTCAATATCGCGAGTTGGTGTCTTTGGTAAATTATCAAAGAGAAAAGTTATCTTCTCAACAAGCTGATCTCACAAAGGTAAGATAAATGATTAATTGAGGTTGTAAGTACAGTAAAACTTCGATATAGTGGATTAATATGTGGAAGGGAAAAATTTTAATAAAAATTGATACAGAAAAACTTTTAGAACAAAAGTTGTAGCAAATTTCACCCTTTACACATTGCTCTGTAACACTTTTACTCTCAGATTCATCAATGTCAAGAAAAATATGAAAATTGGAAGAATTCATAGTTTCACAATTGGTTAATGGAAAAAAAAATGGTATTCTGAGCATGATACAGAAAACTTTTACAATAAAAGTTGTAGCTAGTACCCTTTACACGTTGCTGTCTAACACTTTTGCTGTCAGCTGCATCAATATTGAGAACAATTCGAAAATATGAAAATTGGAAGAATTCGTAATTTCACATTGAAAAAAAAACGATATTCCAAGCATGATACAGTAAAACTTTTACAACAAAACTTGTAGCAAATTTTACTCTTTATACATTGCTCTCTAACACTTTTGCTCTCAGCTGCATTGATGTTGAGAAAAATTCGAAAATATGAAAATTGGAAGAATTCGTAACTTCACAATGAAACAAAACCATTTTCCAAGCATGATACAGATAAACTTTTATAACAAAAGTTGTAGCTAATTTTACCCTTTACACATTGCTGTCTAACACTTTTGCTCTCAGCTGCATCAATGTTGAGAAAAATTCGAAAATATGAAAATTAGAAGAATTCATAGTTTCACAAGTTGCTAATGAAAAAAAAACTATATTCCAAGCATGATACAGAAAAACTTTTACATCAAAAGTTGTAGCTAATTTCACCCTTTACACATTGCTGTCTAACACTTTTGCTCTCAGCTGCATTAATGTTGAGACAAATTCGAAAATATGAAAGTTGGAAGAATTCGTAATTTTACAAGTTGCTAATAAAAAAAACCTATTCCAAGCATGATACAGAAAAACTTTTACAACAAAAGTTGTAGCTANGAGTGGGTCCTGTTGTGATTGGCATTGAGACAAGGAATACTATCGTAGATCCACTGGCGCCCTATAAAAAAAAAGAAATCCACCCCTTCTCTACTGAGATTGCCGGCACCTTGTTTCTCGTGGCGTTTTGTTTTGAGTTTTTGATTATTAATTTTTTTTGTACGCTACAACATATACTAAAAAGTAAGCTAGAAAATATCATAAAAAATGCCGAAAACTAACAAGGCTTAGGAAATGCAGAGAAAATTAACAGAATTCGTAGTTTCACAACTTGGTAATGGAAAAAACCGATATTCTGAGCATGATATCAAAAAACTTTTACAACAAAAGTTGTAGCAAATTTTACCCTTTACATATTCCTCTCTAATACTTTTGCTCCCAACTGCATCAATGTTGAGAAAAATTCGAAAATATGAAAATTGGAAGAATTCGTAATTTCACAAGTGGCTAATCGAAAAAAAAAACGATATTCCGAGCATGATACATAAAAACTTTTACAACAAAAGTTGTAGCAAATTTAACCCTTTACACATTGCTCCTAACACTTTTGCTCTAAGATGCATCAATGTTGAGAAAAATTCGAAAATATAAAAATTTTAAGAATTCGTAATTTCACAAGTTGCTACTGAAAAAAAAACGATATTCCAAGCATGATACAGAAAAACTTCTACAACAAAAGTTGTAGCTAATTTAACCCTTTACACACTGCTCCTAACACTTTTGCTCTAAGATGCATCAATGTAGAGAAATATTCGATAATATGAAAACTAGAAGAATTGGAAAAAATCGGTATTCTGAGCATGATACAGAAAAACTTTTAGAACAAAAGTTGTAGCAAATTTTACGTTTAACAATTGCTCTGTTACACTTTTCCTCTCGGATGCATCAATGTAGAAAAATATTGGAGAACATGAAATTTATAAGAATTGGTAGTTTCACAAGTTACTCATGGAAAAAATCGGTATTCCCAGCGTGATACAGAAGAACTTTTACAACAAAAGTTGTAGCTAATTTTACCCTGAACACATTGCTGTGTAACACTTTTGCTCTCAGATGCATCAATGTAGAGAAATTTCCACACCAAGAGAAGTCAGGCAGGGTGACATTCTTATTCAATATGCTAATGGACAATATTATACAAGAAGTGAGAACTATGCACCTTGGTTACACAATGGGGCAAGAAAAGATTTGTTTGGTCTGTTATGCCGACGATCCTATGATAATAGCTAACTCAGAAGACGACCTACAAAAACAACTTTAAAAGTTCTACCAAATGCGCAAAGAACTGAATAAAGCCAATAAGGTGCAAATTGGTCGTTGAAAACACTCCCATCGAGCAGGTCAAGCAGTTTGTTTACCTTGGCGTAACAATTTCCAGACCAAATTTTTTTATAAACTTGAAGGTTTTGTATCCTTTTAGGAATGTTTTCAGCATCAGCCTTAAGACAATTTTATGTGAAAGCACTGTGCTGTCCATTTTTAATTATTGTGCTCCAGTCTTCGGTCCTTGTCTCGACGTTGCTGATATGTCTAGGATTCAGCGTGTGGAAAATGCTTGTATGCGGTATATTTTCGACATAAGAAAATATGACCATATAACTTATAAATTGAAGGATCTTGAATGGCTTAATATGAGGTCTCGTATTAAAATGCTATCACTTACACTTTATCATAACATGATTGTTGGTCGCAATCCACCTTACTTAGCTAGAAAGACTTATTTTAGAGGTCAGCATAGTGTCAACATCAGAAATAGAAATGTTATAAATCCTGCTAAGCATAGGACCACCCTTTTGAGCGATCCTTTACCTACAGTGTATATTCTCTATACAACTCTATCCTGATTATATAAAAGTTTAAAGTGCGTTTAAATGTTTGCTGTTTAATTACCTTTTCAACATGCAGTGATTTTAACATTCAGGAACATCTCGGAAGGTTACTAAATTTATGTTGTTGTTGATAGCATTAAATTTAAATTTTGATTCTTTAAGATCGATAATTTAGGGATAATACGGAATCTTAGCTTTAAGTTCTTTTTAGACTTTTTCTGGCCTGTTTTGATAGCTTTTTTTAATTTAAGGTTGCGGTGGAAGAACAGTAATGGTGTTTTGGCCATGGCACTGAATCCGCGACCTTATGATTCTTCAACATTTATTATTATTATTTTTCTTTTGTTTTTTTTAAATTTAATTAGCATTAATACAGTTTTTGTATATATGTATTGTTGAAGAATAAATTATTATTATTATTATCTTGTTAAAAACCTAAGATTACAAACTAATAAGGCAGCAGTAATATCAATCTCTCTAACACTTTTGCTCTCACCTCCATCAATAGGAATTGAAGCACTAGAACTAACAGTAGACCTAGAACTAGAATCATTTGAGTTTAGTCTCTTAAAATGGCTAAACCAAAGTCGATTCTAACAAGGTTCGTTATATCGAGATTATACTGTATTACATATAAAATTTGATTCTGAACCTAAGTGGTGCATAAAATACAAACTTTTTAAAAATGTAATTTTATTATTGTTGTAGTATGACGCGGAAATTTTATTTTGGGAAGGTAAAGAACGTGAAAAACAATTTCAACTAGATTTTATCGCCCAGGAATTAGTTACAATGAGTAATGCAAGTAGGATTAATGCCGAACAAATACAAGCTTTGAGTTACGTTGAAGAAGAAGCGGAAATTGTTAAGCAACAAGAAAAAACTTTGAAATCGGAGATAACATTGTTGAGATCGAAACTTGCAAATTGCGAAACGGAATTATTGCAATGTAAAAATAAAATAAGGTATGTTAATCGAACTTATGATAATTGAAATTAATTCAATTAATTTCAAACTAAAAAATATTGATTAACATTTTTAATTAAGCAACTTAAAGCTTTGTTGCTGTTAATCGTTTTGTTGTAATAAAAGAATAACTTAAAATCAATTTTTAGATTGGTAATGGACGAATTACAAATGGAACAACGCGCCCAAAGTCGTCGAAACGAGTCCAGAAAACAAATGGAAATGAATTTATTAGCAGAAATGGAACGGTTACAACACGACATTGATTTGGCGAAACAAGGAACTGAATTACATCATCTCACAGCTGAAGCTCTTAAAAAAGAGGTAAAAAACTAATTGTTATTAAAACCAATTTTATACATAAAAAAATTTAATCGTTTTAGGTGGCAAGTTTAGAAGGTGCTATTGTGGAAAAAAAGAAACAAGTTGAGCATTTAGTAACGGAAATGAAAGAGGCTAATTTGCAAAGTTTGAGTATTGCGCCGCCGGAAGAATTAAAACATATTTTTGAAGGTCCAAATAAAGTCGGAAGTACGAGGAAAATGATCGGTTCGCCGAGACAATTGGAAAACGCTGTTCCGACTAATAAAAATCCCCACGGTGTTTGGGTGTAGTAGATTTTCTTTTTTTTTTGTTATTAGTAGTGATATTCGAGTAATCGATTTTTCAAAACCATATCAAGAAAATGAATAATAAGAAACCAAGCCCCCAAGTGATGTTAGGATTTAGTTAAATTCGTATAAATCGTATATAAATAGGGTTTTTTTTTTTGATTTGCAAGTCTGATATTGTTGCATATAGGAAGTAAATATATAAATAAAATATATATATTAGAAAATATAAATATATAAATAGTTATAATAGTTTATTGTAACGTTATGCCATTTTTGTGTACTTATGCATAGAAGTTTAGATGAAATACGAATTGAAAATATGAGATGAAAATGTTTGTTTTGTATCTTTTATTATTTATTTGTTAGGTGATTGGACCGTTTTTTTATTTTCTTGTAATATTTTCATATATAAAGGTGCATATCGCGAAAATTTGTTTAAATTGCGCACGTATTCTAGTATGATATTCATTATTTTTCACTGCCATATCAAAAGTAGACTTAATTATTTAATCTTTTATTGTTCTTATAGAAAAGTAGATTAAAAAAACGACTTTTTTAACTTTTATAACCTCCAAAGTCACCACTAGTTTATTAATTAATCTTCTTAAAAACTTTTTATATATATATACATATTCACATTTTTTTCTTCGTGTTTTTTTACTTAGTACAAAGTGCAATCACTGTTTTTAATTTTTAAATTGGTCTCCAATTGAAATAAAAAAAATCACTTAAATATTTATTTCAAAATGTATTGTATTTATTAAAATATACCTTATCAAAATAACTAGTTTTATGTTTTTGGTGCCCCATAAGCATCTGGCATCCTCTCAATTGTATATCGATGTTGAGCAACATACATAATAGGTACGCCTGGAATTTTTCTAATTCTCCTCTTCAAATCTTTATCATTAGTTGCAACAATATAACACTTATGTTGAGTAACTCTTTGCACCAAACAATCATCGGCGTACGTTCCTTTATGAACACAAGCAATCCTTTGAAATCGAGGATCCTTTATAATTCTTAAAGCAACCTTGTACCGCTGACCTAACTTTTCCAATTCGGCCAAAACGCAATCTGTTATATACGGAATACATTTTGCATACAAACAGTCCATCATATTTTGAATAATATCCAATTTGTTTTTGATTGAGAAATTTATAAAATTTGTATCAATTAATATATGATAAGGCGGGCCTAGTTGGGTGTTATATTGGAAGAATAAAGCAGAACTAACTTGTGGGGCGTTGTGTACTTTCATTTCTTGGGGATCTTCCGGTTTTTTTCGCCGCGGTGCGGCCCTTTGAGACGCTTTTATTCGCGGATCGCTTAAACTAATCATTTTTTTCATCTGGGCGTATCGCTTTTCAACGATTTTTCGTGTTTTCTTTGCTTTACCCTATAAATTAAGTTTTATTAATAAATAAATAATAAAAATGTTATTTTACCATTTTTTTTATAGGTTAGGTTAACTGTCACATGTGTATGCCAAATTTTGGGATTAATTAAAGTAGTTTGGTGTAGAATTTTTAATTAATAAATTAATTTTTTTGTGTAAAATTAATATTATAAACTATAAATTAAGTTTTATTAAAAAATAAATAATAGAAATGTTATTTACCATTTTTTTGAGGTTAGGTTAACTGTCACATGCGAAATGTGTATGCCAAATTTTGGGATTAATTAAAGTAATTTAATGTAGAATTTTTAATTAAGAAATTGATTTTTTTGTGTTAAATTAATATTATTAACTATAAATTAAGTTTTATTAAAAAATTAATAATAAAAACATTATTTACCATTTTTTTAGGTTATGTCAACTTGACTGTCACATGCGAGAAGTGTATGCTAAAATTTCGTATTAATTATATTATTATATTATTTTATTGTAGAAGTTTTAATTGAGAAATTGCCTTTTTTTATTTATAATTGATATTTATTGTTATTATTTTAATATTTCAAAATAAATTGTGAATATAATTTGATGCCGATAAAACAGTTTCCTAATGTAATTGAATTCTAATGTCATTCGTTCTTTAGGGAGGTGTCGCAGTTTATTCTCGAAAAATCTAAAACATCTCGTGATAAAATCGTCGAATTTACAAAGAACCCGCTAAAAGACGAAATGACGGCCCCAACAGCAGCAGGTGATGTTGGAAGATCGCAAATTACCGCTTATAAGGATAAAACCAAACCGGCCGATGTCCGGCTGAGCAACATAAATGCCGCTAAAGGTTAATTTCCTTATTATTAATTAATTAATTCGTAACAACCCCTAAAAAGTGTTTTATTAAACAATTTATGGCATTAATAATCACCTACAATTGATAAATCAGGTTTATTTATCGAGAATTCGTTGTAATTTGAGGTTATATTTTCAGCTGTTAGTGATGCTATCCGCACGAGTTTGGGCCCCAGGGGTATGGATAAAATGGTAAGTTATGTTTAATTGAACAAACGCGTGTTAATTATTGTTTGTTTTATAGATCCAATCTGGAAATGGGGAAGTTACCATCACAAATGATGGAGCTACTATTTTGAAGCAGATGAATGTCATTCATCCAGCAGCTAAAATGGTAATTTAATAATGTTTGAGGTGTTATAATAATATTTGAGGTATCTTTAATATATTTTTAGTTAGTTGAATTATCAAGGGCACAAGATATTGAAGCTGGTGATGGAACAACAACCGTTGTTGTAATGGCTGGGGCTTTATTACAAGCAGCAGAGAAATTATTATATCGAGGAATCCATCCAACAGCTATTTCTGAGTCTTTCCAAAGAGCTGCTTCACATGCTGTTGAGGTTATTATAATTAAATCATGTTTGTTAACAAAATTATTAATTTTACTTATCTTATACAGATCTTAACTAATATTTCAACACCAGTCCAATTAGATAATCGTGAACAACTCATTCGTAGTGCTTCAACTTCTTTAAATTCAAAAGTAGTCTCACAATATTCGAGCCAATTAGCACCATTGGCTGTTGATGCTGTTTTAAAAATTGTTGAACCAGGTAAATATTAAAAAAAAAGTATGGCACATAAATGCGTTTATTAAAATGCATTATTATAGAGCTCATTTGCAATTGATTAAGCCAAATATGCCTTATACAAAGTTGAATAGTTTAGGAGTTATTTAAATTTTTTGGTGTTTGTACATTTTCATTTTGAATTTAGAATTTAATAATAGTTTCTTTGGCATTATATTGACTTTTCTGGATAGACTACAGTTTAATACACATTTTAAGTAATAAGATTGTTTAAAAATACAGGGGAAAAAGTGTTTTGTACAAATTATGAATGAGATATTAAGCAGGGGTAAATTTCTTTTCAATTAGTTAATTTTAGCGAATAGAAACTAAAAACGTTAATTCCTGATTACAATAAATCCTGAGGTTGACATACAATTCATTAATAGCTATCAATCATTGACTAAACATATAATTTATAGGGTAACAATTGGAGTGAATACAATTTTTGTAGCTGGCAAAAGTTACCTAAAAAGTTATTAATAACGTTTATTGAAAAAAAAAACATACAAATTAATAATAGTAATACTTTATTAACGAAACTGCAGCAAAATAATAAAACAAAAATCAAAATACGAGGGGCGACACATGTTCTACAGGTCGTCAAAGTTATTATTTAAAAATTTCTCCACACTATAAAAGGTTTTCTCTGTCAAATAATTCCTAATTTTGCGTTTAAACAGATTCGTCTCTAAAAACGACACGATCTGGCAAGACATTATAAAATGTTATGCCCAGGTAATTGAAAATAATTTAAAGCTAATTTTGGGCTCACCCTAGCATTATAGTTATGACTAAAACTAACCGTTTGGTATTGGGTGATGTTGTTTTTAATGTAAAGAAGGCAGTGGAGGATGTAGAGGAAGTTTCATAAATTTTGCTCTACAGCAATCCCAAGTTTGCCATCACTCTGACGCATTTTGACTGGGCTTCAAAAACTCGATCAATATAAGCAGAATGACGCCAAGGTAATAAGGCGTAGGTGGCATGACTAAAGAAATAACTATAATATGTGCCCATCAGTATATTGAAAGGGACCAAGTCTGTGAATTGCAAAAATGGCGATATTCCAGATATTTAACAGCCGCCGTGCAAGTCTCTACACGTCTAAGAGAAAAATTTAAGGTTTGCGTTTTGGCTTCGTTCATGCTTAGTCTATTTTTTTGAAACCAGCAACCAACATTTTGTTTTTAAAACCAGCAATTTTATGTATCAGATTAACATCAACAAAAACAAGTAACCAAAGGAATGCATTGTCTAATTCTGTCTAAAAAGAACTCATACTTACAAGTCAAAAAACTGCACCTCTATTCCGAATACATGCACGAGTTTTTTTTCTTGATTTTCGATCTTGTTATCTTACTTGTAATTAACGTTTTGAAAACATATGCTTCGTTTTGGATTTTTTCTATTAATTCATCTTTAGAGTTGATTTGTGTAGCCCCACACATAAAAATCAAGGGGCGTCAAATCAGGACTCCTTGCATGCCATGGAATTGGTCAACCTCTCCCAAACCAACGATTAGGAAACATTTCATTTAATGAATTTCGAACATTTTAGGATCAATCTGTTTTCTAAAGGTGCATAAAATAAAACTTTTGCTAATTTTGCAAATGAAGAACCATAGAGTGGATGTCGCAGTTACGAGTATTTTCGCCCCCAACATAAGAGAGTGATTCCACTTCACTCTAACTTAGATGGTAATGTGCATCACCATCTAAACAATAGATCGTTGATGACATGAATACTGATAGTTCCACTCTGCCAAATACATTACATCACAAACTATACTTTGCAAGAAATCCAGAGGCTTTTCACTCACTAGATCGAAAACTAGAAACATTCGGGTTTAGCCGCACGTTTGTCAAGACGGCTGAACCCGAATGATTCTAGTTCTAGGTATAGTTTTAGTTCAATAAAAATATGGAATATACTGATATGAACATAGTTATTCTGTGGTGATATCTTATGTTAACTAGCGCTACCTACCACTGTCACTAGAACTAACATTAAACCTACAACCAAAAACATTCAGATATGTTGCATTTTATGTGGGATAAAGTATAGTTCATTTTTTTTCTATAATACCTATCAAATTGTTGTAAAGTTGGCAAAATTAACAGGGAGTTTTGTTTTATCATGTTTTGAAATAGATATGTCACTCTCACGTTTGAGCTTTCATTATTCAAAACGAAAAGGTGCATAAAAAATTAAATATGATGTAGGTAAAAGTAAAAACTTTTTGAGAAATACTAAAATGTTCAAGCAAACATGTTTCGAAACTAATGTTTCATCTTCAGTACCTAAATTTAAGAAACAAATTAACAAATGTTAACTGGAACGTATTAATAACGTAAAGAGAAATCGGAATTTGAAAAGGTGAACTTACTTAGAATATTATACAAAATAATGGAAAAATATTTTGTTAGTAGGTGGGGTTTAGGAATGGATTTAAATTTCTTTCAACTTAATTTACATATAAAAAATTCTTTTAATAAAATCAAAAATTCAATATTTTAGTTAAATCTTGGAAGGTAACATATGATAAGGGTGTGGCGTAAAAAACGTTTATATTAGAGAAATATGGAGAATTTCATCCCATTTATGCATAAAAAATGTTGTGGGGTGTTTATTTGTCATTTATTTACCTAGAAAAGGTGTTTTGTGCTATTTAATTACGTTTTTACAATAAATATGTACTTCGTTAAAATCGTATTTATCTANGGAACATGTGGTGATATCTTATGTTAACTAGCGCTACCTACCACTGTCACTAGAACTAACATTAAACCTACAACCAAAAACATTCAGATATGTTGCATTTTATTGTTGTAAAGTTGGCAAAATTAACAGGGAGTTTTGTTTTATCATGTTTTGAAATAGATATGTCACACTGACGTTTGAGCTTTCATTATTCAAAACGAAAAGGTGCATAAAAAATAAAATATGATGTAGGTAAAAGTAAAAACTTTTTGAGAAATACTAAAATGTTTAATTCAATTCAAGCAAACATGTTTCGAAACTAATGTTTCATCTTCAGTACCTAAATTTAAGAAACAAATTAACAAATGCTAACTGGAACGTATTAATCGGTGAAAATAATACAGAATGTATTTCTGAAGATTAAATTTTATTAAAAAAAAATTAAATGGAACGTATTAATAACGGTAAGGAGAAATCGGAATTTGAAAAGGTGAACTTACTTAGAATATTATACAAAATAATGGAAAAATATTTTGTTAGTAGGTGAGGTTTAGGAATGGATTTAAATTTCTTTCAACTTAATTTACATATAAAAAAAATTTTAACAAAATCAAAAATTCAATATTTTAGTTAAATCTTGGAAGGTAACATATGATAAGGGTGTGGCGTGAAAAACGTTTATATTAGAGAAATATGGAGAATTTCATCCCATTTATGCATAAAAAATGTTGTGGGGTGTTTATTTGTCATTTATTTACCTAGAAAAGGTGTTTTGTGCTATTTAATTACGTTTTTACAATAAATATGTACTTCGTTAAAATCGTATTTATCTAAAAATGTATTAGTATTTTAACCTCAACTATTGAGTTACTGATAATTTTACTAAAAATCAGGAACACAACATAAATTTTATAAGGGTCCTAGATAATACCAACAGAAATCCCTAAAAAATTTACATTGACAAGTATTATAGAAAAAAAAACGAACTATAAGTAGGTACGCCCCAAGGTTTATATATTATAGGTTGTCTAAGTTCCTATGCTGCAATACTTTGATTTTAGTTCGTGGGCGAGGGGCAAGAGCAGGAGTGTTTCTCTTATATATAAACCTTGGGTACGCCCTGGTTTCTATGGAATTATTACCCCACGACCGTCTTTCAAAAAATCGATAATCTAAATTAAATTAAGCGGACTAGTAACGTTTTCACGTTCGAAAATTGTTTAATTTTTGCAATAATTAATGTAAAAGTTTAAAATTCCTCACCCCCGACTCCAGATGACGTTTTAAGTAAGAAGAAAGAAATCACAGACGTTACGCTCGCTCCCCTTTTTTCTAATGCATAAGATTTGTAGCATTGTCTCTCTCCAGGAATTTTATTGATTTTTATACGCTCAAATCTGAGTGACGTACTTTGGAGTTCGTGCCCTGTAGTTTCAAACATTATTATTTTTTTTTTGAAAAACAGTCTCAGAATCAAAAATTAAAAAATATAGGGTCAATCAATTTTAAAATACTTAACGGCCCTATTACCTGTATACTGAAAATGTACAAAAACCAAAAGATTTAAATAACTCCTAAACTATAGATCTTTCTATGAGGCATATTTGGATTAATCAATTGCAAATGAGCTCTATAATAATGCATTTTAATAAATACGTTTATGTACCAGTCACCCTGTATAACAATAAAAAAAATTACAAAAATGTTTGTGTTTAGGTCATGAATCTGTAGTGAATCTCACTGATATAAAAGTACTTAAACAGTTAGGTGGAACTGTTGAAGATACAGAGTTAGTTGAGGGTATTGTTTTCCCACAAAGAGCGGCGAATATAAACGGCCCCAAACGTATTGAAAAAGCAAAAATAGGTCTAATTCAATTTTGTATTTCCCCACCAAAAACTGATATGGATCATAACGTGATTGTTTCTGATTATGCTGCAATGGATCGTGTTTTACGCGAAGAAAGGCAGTACATTCTAAACATTGTTAAACAAATTAAAAAAGCTGGATGTAATGTCTTATTGGTAAATATTTCAAATATCCTCGCATAAAATAATTAATTTATAATAATTTTTAGATTCAAAAATCGATTTTAAGAGATGCAGTGTCCGATCTTGCGTTACATTTCCTCGATAAAATAAAAGTGATGGTTGTTAAAGACGTTGAGCGCGAAGATATTGAATTTGTTTGTAAATCGTTAAATTGTCGCCCGATTGCATCTCTAGATCACTTCACCGCGGAAAATCTCTCCAACGCTGAATTAGTTGAAGAAGTGGGATTCAGTGGAAATCGAATGGTGAAAATAACCGGGGCCCAAAACGCAGGAAAAACCATCACCCTTCTAGTCCGTGGTTCAAATAAATTAGTTTTAGAAGAAGCCGAACGCTCCATTCACGATGCGCTTTGCGTAATTCGTTGTTTAGTTAGGAAGAAGGCGGTTATCGCGGGAGGTGGAGCTCCGGAAATCGAATTGGCTTTAAAATTGGCCGCCCAAGCTGATAAATGCGAAGGTTTAGACGCGATTTGCATGCGAGCTTATGCTTATTCTTTGGAGGTGGTTCCCTTTACTCTGGCTGAAAACGCCGGGTTAAATCCAATCCAAACCGTAACAGAATTGCGAAATAGACATGCTAAAAATGAAATTTCCGCGGGAATTAATGTGCGTAAAGGAACCATTTCGGATATTTTGGAAGAAAATGTTGTTCAACCTTTATTAGTTTCAGTGAGTGCTATTACTTTAGCTACTGAAACAGTTCGTTCCATCTTGAAGATTGATGATATCGTTAATACCATGTCTTAAATAACACTTTTTTGAAAATTATTTATAACATTTACGTTTTTAGATTCATTTTGCTTATTATCACACTTACAGAATATTAATTTGAGTATTTTGCAAATAAAATCAAATTAACATCATTTATGCGTTATTATTCATTTAGTTTAACCCATTTATGCCCCAATTAATTTTTTTATTCAGGTTTTTTGTTGTATTTTTGGTGCAGTTTTTATCTTTTGTAACTTACTTCAAGCATTATTTTTAAGAAAATATTATTTTTTCTCAATTAAATAAAATTAACAATAAATGTATTGGAATTATTTATTGTCCATTATCTTGTTATATACAGTGATACAATAAAATCTACAAACACCCCAGAAAATGATATCTCAGCTTCTGAAATGTAATTCAATGAATTTTTTAAACGAAGGATATTAGAAGTCTATATTATTTTAATATAAAGTCGAAACAGTTCGACTTGTGCTACTAAGTGAAGGCTATTATTACATTCGGGTTTAGCCGTGCGTCCTCAGATACTTTCTAGGTCTAGTGTTAGTTCTAGTATTAGTTCAATAAAAATATACAACATAGTGATATTTTGTGCTAACTAGCGCTACTTACCGCTGTCTCTAGAACTAACATTAGACCTAGAACTAGAAACATTCGGGATTAGCGACACGTCTCTCAAGACTGCTAAACCCGAATTATTCTAGTTCTAGGTCTTGTGTTAGTTCTAGTGCAAAACTAGAACTAACTCTAGAACTAGAAACATTCGGATTTAGCCGCACGTCTCTAAAGACGGCTAAACCCGAATTTTTCTAGTTCTAGGTCTTGTATTAGTTCTAGTGGTAGTGTAAAACTAGAACTAACACTAGACCTAGATACTTTCTAGTTTTAGTTCCATAAATATATGCAACATAATGATATCTTAATGTTTTTAGTTCTTTTTTTTAAGACTGTATGTAGACTTTTTTGAGTTAAAGGTACGATTATGGTTAGTGTTCTCCTTGATTAATAATAACTTGTATAGCTTTTATGTAAAATATGGAAATAATATGGACATCTTATATGTTTTGTTAAAAAATTTCATTGAATTACATTTCGGGAGCTGAGATATTATCATTTTCCGGGCTGTATGTGGACTTTATTGTATCACTGTATATCATGCAAATTGACTTTACATTTTTGATAAGACTATCTCGTGTTTTTCTGCATGGACAATCTTTTTTTAAATCGCACTTGCGTTGGCACTCTTGAAGTCGATTTATGAGAAGATGAACGTTTTCCTCCTGCCGGGGGAATACCATATTTTTGTAAATACGTTTGCCATTTTTTACTCAAGTCCTTTTTTATATAGTTGCCATCGTTTTGTGCACTGAAATAATGACACAAAACTTGGTTGCAAAAATTGCCAACCATCACTTCTTCAATGTAATGAAAATCCTGTAGTTGTCTATGTTCTTATCCATCCTGTCTACACCGCCAATAAATTTATTGTATTGAATTACTACATGAGGTTACACAACTGGCAACCTTTTTTACTGTTTTGATATCCACATTTTCACTCTACATTCTGGAAGCGTAAAATCATCAAGCTGTCCATCAGAACTATTCTATTATTATGCCAGCTTGTAATGGTTAATTTATTGGCAACATCTGTACCTGTCTATTATACACCTCTGTCCTTTTCTACCACTTTAGAAGGCATTATGGGACACTTTTCAATTCTATTTTATTTGATAGTTCCCGTACATCCATATATTTTTCCCGTAAATGTAGTAGGACTTTTATCAGTCCAAGTACATGGTTTCTTTATAGTTGGCTTTCTTACTTTTTTTGTGGTTGTTGCATTTTCTTCTTTATTCGCTGAAGTATCAGCTGCATTTTCTCTCGTCGGTTTTTTAACACTACACTTGTAATTTGCACGTATCTTGTATTTCAAAAATTTTGAATTAAGCATTTGCATCAATTCTCCAAGTTTTGGAATGTTATTATTATCTGCACAGTGGAGATATCTTTTTATCATTTCGAATCTATTTCTTCTCATAAAATTTACTAGTGCCATAATGCAAGATTCGGTTCCTAGCTCCCATTACATTCTACATCTAGGAACAATACAATGGACAGATTGAAAAACACTTTATTTTTTCATTGGAAACTTGGAAATTAAGTTCACCTTTTTGCTGTGCATATAACGTCGTCATTTCTGCCAAAAATGATATAATACTATCATCAAGATAAAGCTCAAAGCTTTCCACCGGATCAAAAAGAATGTGAAAGGTGCTGATTGCATCAGCTTCTCAAAATTCGGAAACTCAGAAATAAGATAATTTAATGTTTTGATAATGTAATAATGAATCGACTAGGGCACTAGGTCACTAAATCGAACGGCTTCGCCCTCTGAAGGCGACGTAGGACATTCTCTTTGTCGAGAAGCTGGATGGCCTCGATGTTGGGATGATCGTGCATTCTCTTTTCATGTTTAGATGCGAATGATGCAATTTCTGATGACACCGATGCAACTTTCAAGTCACGATTTCTTTTTCTTTAGTGCATTCGCTGGTCCAGTGTTCACCAGCACATTACACACATCTCGGATTTTTGTGGCAATAAGCTTTGGTGTGGCTCCAACCTTGACACCTTTTGCACTGGGGCATTTGTTTTGGTATTCTGTACTCTTCGATTTTGACACGCATTCATGTCTGAAATTATTAAAAATCTTTATGGACCCGTTTAGCCCATATTGGAACTTTAAGGAAAGTGTTTTTTTTTGTACTCTCACTAATCAACATGTTTCTGCCTACAAAATCACGTTGTAACTAACAGCAAAGCGTGGAGGGGAGAAAAACGAGGTGTTCCATTATTAGAACTGTGAGCATAAACGGGTTAAAAGGCTTTATTAAGTATAATTTTTTCATCTAAACATTTATTTAATTAATAAATGCATAACACGTATATTTCATTTTTTTGTACTTACAATATCAATAAAAAGTAGAAAGAGAGAATGAGAATAAAAACGGAAAACAGAGGAGAGGCACTAAAAAAACAAAGTATAAATGCTCACAATCAATTGAATCAAGACTATGCGGTAAGAAATGCTTTTTAAAATTCTTAAAAGTTAATAATCACCAAGTTTTTTTATAACAGTAATGATAAAAAGCAAATATTTGTATAAAATTCTAATAAATACATATTATTATTATTATCATCGTGTATCTTGTAGATTTTAAAGACAAAAAAAATATATAAAAATTAAAAAAATCCAAACTAGAATATTAAAAGAGAAATTCACAATGGCCACAAAACTAACAATAAAATTTAATAGTAGTCTATTTGTATTCTTTTAATTTTTTTAAAGCTAAACATATTACACTTAAAGAAAATTAAACAAAAAAAAACACCTAACCTTATTCTCATATAGAAAAAATACATTCCATATTTCATTTTAATTTGTAAAAAAATACTCATCACAAAAATACTTTTACTTTCAATGTAACAAATTGATTTAACGAAAACTTTATATTTAAATTCATTTCTTTCGTTTAAGAAAATTTATTCCGTTCCTTTTCCAAATTAGTTTTTGTCATTTTAAACGCTTCGGTTCGGAAGAAATCCACCTTTTTATAAATCGTATCATCGCTCGTCGCGCTACAAATGCTACCGCCAGGTACCGTAGGCGCAGGACCCCCCAATGCGTCCAAATCCAAATCTAAATACTCCAATTTGAAATAATCCTTCATTTTGGCTTTGTTTGGAAAGATACGAAACACCTAAAACAATTCGATAAAAACAAATTTGATCTAAATGAGATTCGTCGTATCACCTCTTCATTATCACATGAAACATCACTGAAAGATCGACGTTCTGTTGGTGGAGTTGGACTTGGGGCAGCGCGAATTTTACGATTAGTACCTTTATTTGGAATTAAATTTGTGTATAATCCTGGATCGGGACTCTAAATTAAAAAGGGTAAATTAACAACCTCAAATTTTAATATTTTATGTTAAAATAAATTACTTACGGGTATACTTAGGAGTGGTTTTAAGTGTCTATCCACATTAGGAGCTAAACGAGGCGAAGACGGTTCAGGATTTGAAGTTATTGATCTTGTATCGGATAATTTTCGTTTTGGTTTTAACCCACGATTTACAACAGGTGGCGGAGATAAGACCTAAAAAATTTAAAACTTTTACATTAAATTAAAGGAAAGAACAAGCCATAGTAGACATTTTAAGAAAAGTTAATCAGTTAAATAGAGGTTTTGAAAAATATGCTGATTTATTATATATTTATTATATAATTTGTTATCTCGGTTAATTTTTGTTGATGATAATGTTAAATTCGTAATCTACATTAAAAACCCTTTAATTTGATACCAAATACGACATATTTACATGAAAAATTAAAAAAAGTTAGGTTAAAATCAATAATAACCGCCATCTTGAATTTTTTTTATACCAAAATTTGTTGTTTTGGTTAATTTTTGAGATAACCCCATCGACTTTGGACTCATTTTAAAGCATTTTTGATCTACTTTACGATTTTGAATGATTTACCTCTTTTTGAAAATGTTTATAATAAAAAAGAGACCAAAACATGAAGAATGAACACACCACAAAACATGAGAAAGAAATACTGACCGACATGAACGCTTATAAAACTAGATCAGGTCGTATTGTAAAACATAAATTCCAATACATGTATTCATAAATTAGTTTAATAATTTAAGAAGTATTTAGATGTAAGCATTGCAAAAAAAAAGGGAAGTTGTAATGTATTGTTAAGTTGACCACTGGATGGCGTTACAATACTGCTTATGACATTGTAGAACCCAGTTAAAAAAGAACGTAGCAACTGAAAGCACGTGTTTTATTGACTTTTAAATGAAATTAAAGTAAATTACAAGCATAACAAAAAAATGATTAATCTAGGCTTTAAAAACAATCCATAAAATGTATAAGGAATGTTGATTCATTTTAAAGGAACGCATAAAAACAAGTTTAAATAATGTAGCAAGGTCAACGTAATGAATCACTATAAGAACAACGAAAATCGTTTAGAAACCACAAAGCTTTTAAATGAAATAATTTTTTTGTAATTCGCGATGGTAATGAAAGCTATTACAGTACTCAACCAGGTGCTGTAATGAGACTCTTTACAACAGCCAATGCTGTAATGAGATTTTAGTAACATTTTATGGGACCAGTTTAAGTTGATGACATTGGGTCATTAATTTTTCTAGTTGTCAATGTGACAATTTTGACACAATGACGAGGACATTAAACTCTGAGCAATTTCTCTTATTTTGGGAGGTGTACATGAAATTTTTTTCAGCTGAATACATTTTGTGTTTTGACAAATTCTAATTGTCAATTCAAATTTCTATTTTCAAGTGTTACCAACTGCTACATACCTATTTCCCTACATTGTCAAAATTTATTCTTGTTAAAAAAAAGGATTACAAAAAATACGTTTCGTAAGACTTAAAACCACTCTTTTTTCTACTTGAATTCGTGCATTTCAAGCGTGTCTTATGAAACCTTTTTTTTTAATACACTATTAAACTTGCCTGTTCTGTTAAATTGGGACTAGGTAGGTTTGAATACATGGCTGAGGAACACTGTGAAGATGGTGATGGTGGAATATCACTTGCTGCATCAGTATCTGAATGAAAATCCTAAAATAAAAAGTTTGTATTATCAAAATTTTTTATTGTTTAATTTTACCTGTGAAATTGTATTGGGGTTAGGTTTTGTTATAACATCGAACCTAAAAATTTTTCCATCTCCACATATACCGGGAGCGGCGTTATTATAACAATGTCTTCTATTTAATGAAGAAGCTTCTTCACCCCCAAAACGATGCGATCTTGGAAAATCGTACGTTTCATCATTAATCGGATAGTGTTTAACTTCTTCATTAACATTACTTATTTTACTTTGTCCTGATATGTTTAAGTAACTACTGCCTTGATTGATATGTGCAGGTTTTGGGGGTCTTGGTGGAACCACCTCAATTTTACTTGAATCCATAGAAAGCCGACCAACTCTTTGTGCGAGGAATGCGTCCATATCGGCCGAACTATCAGAATATTTCGGCGTTCTTGGTCCCTTATCACCAATTACCGTACTTTCCGACCAAGTATCATCCGTAAAAACACTATCAGAATCAAAATCGGAACCTTTCGCGCCATCATCAGGCGGTTTACTTAATTTAGGTAGTAAAGATCGCGGAATTTCGTAATTTATCGGAGGTGCAACGAAGTTGTGGTACTCATGACCTTCATAGATTTGATTTGATAAACTATTTACGTGGATTGGATCACAGGTCGTTCGTAACATTTCTTTAGTTAAGTTCTAAAATATTTTTAAATTTAATTGACAAAACGAAACGATTTAATTAAACTTACGCTTAAATCTTTTGTACAAAACACGGGCGATTTTCCTGTGATGCATTCTGATATTGGAATATAAGGACTTGTGCTAACTGGGGATATCGGCGGGGTTTCCAACGTATTTCTAAGTTCTAATTGAACCATGTTTTGATGGTCGTGATGGTCTGTTGCGTTTGTTAAAGGTTCATCTATTACACTATGGGCTTCAACTATATAAAAATTAAAAAGAAAATTTAAAATATTTTAAACTTAAAAATTATACAAATGTCAATTTTGACAGTTAGATTAGATCAATTGAATATTAGGTCAAAATGACAAATGTTTTGTTATAAATTTATTTATTCTAATTCAACCATATTTTGATGGTCTGTTGTGTTTATTAAAGGTTTTCTATTACATAATATATATAAAAGTATATAAAAGAAAATTTAATAAAATAATTATTTTAGGTTAAAAATAATTTAATGTCAATTTTGACAGTTAGATTAGATCAATTGAATATTGTCTAAATATTTTGTTATAAATTAATTTAATTTATTATTAAAATCACATTGTTTACTTACCTCCATCATCTCCATTAGTAGGTTTAAGTCCACAAACATCGCAAACATATCTAGTCCAATTCTGAAGTTCGGTTTCCGTTTCAGCAGCTAAATAATAAATTCTTTTCTCAGTTTTGATAGCGAAAATATGTTGCATATCGCATATTCGTCGATCGTCCAATTTAAACCCAACATCGACCTGTTCGCAATGACTTAAATCAATGAATCCCTTTAATTTCCTATAATTCTTATCGGAGTAATAAGTTAAAATGTATTGTTGTGGAAATTCCCCAGGTGATAAAGTAAACCATCGTTTTCTCCATCTCTGTAACAATAACGTGAATCATAAGAATGTTAGAGGAAGAAAAATAAAGTCATTGTTATCAAATCATATGACTGTGTTTGAAAAATTAAAGTAATTTTACACTCACTGCTCTCCATATGCGTTTTGAAGGTGGAGATTTAACCAGCCAACCTTCGCAAATGATGTCTCTGGACATGTTTCGCGAAGAACGCATCGATTCTATTCAACCCACCATAGTTTACGAGTAAAAAACTGTTCGTTAAAAAAATTAAATCGCCACTACTAATAACGTCGTACGGAATGTTCGTACTTCGATCGTAGACGATGACTAATCCGCTGGATCATTTTCCACCACCTCTCCACCGTTTTTACACACTTCTAAATAACTTTATACGAACGCAAACAAATCCAACAAACCAACTAAATAACGGAGGAACAAACGTGAAGTTAGACACCGTTCTTGGTAATAATTTTGAAAGTTACCATTTTGTGTACAGAAGAAGGAAATCTATAAATAGATTGTAAACGATTGCATTCCTCAAGAATTACAAGATCAAGGAAGTAAAAACCGATTGTGTTATCTTTAATTTATCATTAAGAAATAAGATGTGAGGTTAGAATCTTATAAAAAGAGTTTTGTTGAATTGTTTATATTATTTAAACAAAAATGTTTTGTTATATAAATTAGAATGATTTGAAAGTTTATAAATAAAGGACACGCCCGGTTTATTATCTAATAAAATGTGATAAAATATAACTGAGTAAACAAATGGAAATGTTGATAACAATGAAGTTATCTTTAAATGTGATTTGCGGTTTTATATTTATCACATTTATACAAGTAATATAATTTATTTTATCTAAGTCGTGATTAATAATTATTTATAACTAATATTTTCTTTTTATTACCAAAATTTCAATGTAAATTCTATTAAAACGATTTTTGATTTAAAAATTAGATTGTGGCGCCATCTATATGTGTGTATGTAGTTTAATGTGGGGTAAATTCCTTCACAACACTTAGGCCCCCTTTGTACATCCCCACAATTTACAATTCATTCAGTGATCAGAAAACCAACCCAAGGTTTTAATGAACGTTAATATAGAACTGAAGGGTATGTTCTTAATGTCTAAAATTTGGGGCCATGGCACGCCAAAAACGGATTCCTTCAAGATCCGAAACTTTGTATAATGTACGATATGGTAATTACGTGGGCGATGGAGACAGTAAGACATCAACAACATTCTCCGCTATCCATCCGTGTAGATAATAAATGTCCGTCATACGGGCATAATAAAACTGTTCCTTTTTACTAGATACTGCAATATGCCTTTGTTCTTGACCTTTAAAAAACTAGTCATTATGTTTCACTATTCCCAATATTTCTGGATATTGAGTTCTTGGATACGGCTGGATTTTGTAATTTCTTGAAAACTTCATCACTTCTTTTGCTGCTAACTTAGCTTTGATATTACCGTAATTTCTATAGATTCTGTTCTGACTTTGCAATCTGTGTTTATTTCGCATCTGTTCTTATTTACCAGATTATATGTTATACATCTGGCACTGCTAAAGGTACCGGGTGGAAATGAAGTACCAAAAAGATTTACTGCTTCTAAAAAACTAAATACTGCTTTCTGAAGACTAGATACTGCTCTGGAAGATTAAATACTGCTTTCTGAAGACTAGATACTGCCGACAGGTCTAAATACAGCGTCTGGAACACTAAATACTGCTTTCTAAAGACTAAAATTGCTTTGTGGAGACTAAATACTGCTTTCTGATGACTAGATACTGCTGACAGGTCTAAGTACTGCAAAATAAAGATAAGATATTGTTGGAGAAAACATACATAACGTTGGCAGAAGACTAGATACTGCTTCTAGAAGACTAAATACTGCTTTCTGAAGACTAGATACTTCCGACAGGTCTAAATACAGCGTCTGGAACACTAAATACTGCCTTCTAAAGACTAAAATTGCTTTGTGGAGACTAAATACTGCTTTCTGAAGACTAGATACTGCTAACAGGTCTAAATACTGCAAAAAAAAGATAAGATATAGTTGGAGAAAACATTAAAAAGGCGCCAGCGCCCCCTTTTAGGCAGCGCCCTGGTGCAGTGCACCCCTTGCACTCCCGGTAGCGCCGCCTCTGTTTAGCAGATTCTCTTTAATTTTTCCTACATTTACCATTACATATTCTCTTACCTCCATCCATTCCGCTCAGAATCTGTATTATGTCTTTATTACCCTTTAATAAATCCTGCATCAGTTTTTCGACTTCCAAACTTTATAACATCCTGAAACTCATTTCTTCTTTCTTTATCTGCCATGGTTTTATTTTGCTGCAATTTCTATTAATTTTGTTCCTTTTCAGTAGATTCTGCATTTTGCACATGTTGTTCTTTGGTAAGGCAATGAAATCACGGCCACTTCCCTGATTAAAATATCTAGGGGCAGCACGTTCAGCAGTCTCCATCGCGATCGTGGGTATCGATTTCATGGCGCCTGTAATTACCATTGCCAGGCGTTGAATTTGATGCAGCAATGTAGCCTTATATGCATGTTTTAGTGCTGAGCATCAAGCTATGGTTTTGTGGGCTACCATGGGTCTTATCACAGCGTGGCACCATCTAATAGATAAAAAAATAAAATTTTTAATTTCTTACTGATAAATTATTTTAGGTTTATTTAAATGGAATAAAAATACAAAAAAAACTACATTAGTTGTATTCTTTATTTAAGAAATCAGTCTTTTGCGTCAGTTTTTCGCCGCCAGCCGGCAAACTTGTATCACACGGACGAATCACAAAACATGCACGAGTCACAAAACTACAACAAAGTTTTTTTCCTCTCTTTCGCTCTTCTTTCACGATGTATACCAAAAAAAAGCATTGTAAAAAAAAGGATAACATAAAATTGTTAAAGAAAGTGTGTGTCACATCGAAGACTAGAAAATTTTTTACAGTCACGACTTTTAACCGCCGACAAGCGTATTAAAATCTCTTTGTAACAAACAATTATTAATCTTTTCAATTAATCAATAAACGAAAAACGTATCCATTAAAGTACAACCTGCCAGCGGTAATAAACATTAATAAAAAATAATAATTATAAGAAACACTTAGGCCTCGCGTCAATTAATAATATTATAAATAATTGTATCTCGTCATCAATATTGTTTCTTATATACACAATTCTAACTTTAAAAAAGAAAAGTTGAATAATACGTTGAAATAAAAAAAAAATTATTTACTAAGGACCCAAAGCGTGTTCCATCATTTGTAAACACAACGATTCCAGGCTACTCTCAATTTCCACGTTTTTCAATAACTGTTTATTACTCTTCGTTTGTTGTTCGTTTTCAGACGTTTCTTGAAACCTCACATGAAGATGACTCGAATTCGTATTATTACTTCTACTGCGACAATCGCCATTTATTCCATGAAGAACAGTTTGCAATGGTAAATATTGCACGAAATTATTTACAGTTAAATTACCAACCGAGTGTCTATGTCCTCCAATTGGTTTTTGCATATTTGGATACGACGAACTTTTTTGACTGTACGTACTTTGGGACGATTGTAATAAAGTTACGGTTGCATTTTGCGAAGAACAATGGTGGTTTCTAAAAAAATGAGAACCATTTTAAAATTTATATTTAAAAATGTTAAGATTTTTTACTTGTAATTGTTACTATGTCTGTTGTAGTTTGCGAGATGATTTATCTTCGATATTTGATCCTTCCACATGCTCATCCGTCTTTTCTGTTCATCTGTAAAGACATCTGAGTTTTCTACCCGTTCGCTTAAAGAGGTGAATAAATGGAAACATTCTTCAGATGATTGACGTCTCATCAGCAATTGAGTACATACTAAAAGAAAATTAGAATAAAAAAATTTCTGACTTATTATAATTAAAGACCGGATTTATATGCTTTTGCATGTAACTTGATATTATGTATTCTTATCGCATATAAATTTAGTTATGCATATAGTTCGATATAATCGCATGTTTTGTCCATATTTCAACATAACAGCATTAATGATATGAATCCTGCAAATATAGCTTCCGTGAAGTATCCTCCCATTACATTCAAATTATAAAAATATTCTTACCAACAAACGTCAAAATTTTACTATGACTTACATATGACTTAAATAAAATTTTAATTTTACAATTCCAAAAATCAACAACTTTATTGTTTCAAGTATTTTTTTGTTTGACCACATAATATTGTCCATACTTCCGGAATATTACTGTATATTTCGACCAATTTTAAACACATACAGGGTGTTTTTGTGATATGCAACCGCAAAGTTTAAACATTTTTAAACATTTTCTTAAATATTTTTAATATGGTTTGTCTTAGAAAGATAAAGTTTGGCAAACAATGCAATGTTATCATGAGAAATCGTTTAAGATGAAAGAAATTTTTTTATTATGTCGTAAACCTTTAAAATTTCCAACTGATTTTAAAAGCCTGTTTCATTTTAAAATTATTTTTACTCTTAGAAATTTTTGATTAGACGCATCGTTTTAGAGTTATTCACAAGAAGATAAAAATGTCTTAACTTTGAAAGCCCATATCTTAGCCATTTATGGGATTAGACCAAAAATTTTTACACGAATCATCATTTTAATTCTAGTGCTTATGCCAGGACTTACAAGAACACCTATATAAAAAACAGTGATGGAACGGTTAGTGATTTTGCGAAAAGCAGGATACTGGATATTCGCCATATCTATCCGGCCATTATGGTTATAACTTGTGGTGCATTTCTGAAGTTATACCCTACATTGCCACATTATTGCGATATTTGAATAAAAATGAAATTAATAAGAAAGCTGATAAGATATGTCAACTTATTTGGATCCAAGATACAAAATGAACTTTTTTGATGTTGATTTAACTTACGAAGCAACTCTAAAAAGAGGATACTTTAATTAATAATTGGTGATATTTCCAAAAGGATCCTTCAAGAAATTAATTTTATACCGAATTTTGAAAATTACCGATGAAAATTCCAACATCGAAAATTTTATCAAAACTTCAAATATTGTTTTCTCAAAAACTAAAAGTTATTTTTCAAAACGTGTTGGTTCAATAGAAAGAGGACACTTTTATTAACACTTTGGGAAATTTTCATGCTCATATTCCAAGAAATGAAATTTATACGAATTTTTAAAACATAACCGGCGGAAATTGCAAAATTCGAAAAAATTGTCGATTATTTCAAAAATTTATTTCTCAAGAACTAAACGTGATTTTTCAAAACGCCTTTTTGCATTAAAAAGGGGATACTTTAATTAATAATTGGTGATATTTCCACAAAGATCCTTCAAGAAATGAATTTTATAGTGAATTTTAAAAATTATCGATGAAAATTGCAATATCGAAAATTTTATCAAACCTTCAAATATTGTTTTCTCAAAAACTAAAAGTTATTTTTCAAAACGGGTTGTTTCATTGGAAAGAGGACACTCTTATTAGCACTTTGGGAAATTTTCATACTTATATTCCAAGAAATGGATTTTACACGAATTTTTAAAGCTTAATGGGCGAAAATTGCAAAATTCGAAAAAATTGTCGATTATTTCGTAAATTTATTTCTCAAAAACTAAAAGCGATTTTTCAAAACGGCTTTCTGCATTCAAAAGAGGATACTTTAATTAATAATTGGTGATATTTCCACAAGAATCCTTCAAGAAGTGAATTTTATAGCGAATTTTTAAAGTTATCGATGAAAATTGCAATATCGAAAATTTTATCAAAACTTCAAATATTGTTTTCTCAAAAACTAAAAGATATTTTTCAAAACGGGTTTGTTCATTGAAAGGGGACACTTTTATTAGCACTTTGCGAAATTTTCATATTCCAAGAACGGGATTTTATACGAATTTTTAAAACTTAAACGGCGAAAATTGTAAAATTCGAAAAAATTGTGGATTATTTCAAAAATTTATTTCTCAAGAACTAAAAGTGATTTTTGAAAACGGCTTGTTGCATTAAAAAGAGGATTCTTTAATTAATAATTAGTGATATTTCCACAAGGATCCTTCAAGAAATAAATTTTATTGCGAATTTTGAAAATTATCGATGAAAATTGCAATATCGAAAATTTTATCAAAATTTCAAATATTATTTTCTCAAAAACTAAAAGTTATTTTTCAAAGCGGGTTGGGTCATTGGAAAGAGGACACTCTTATTAACACTTTGGGAAATTTTCATACTCATATTCCAAGTAATGGATTTTATACGAATTTTTAAAGCTTAATCGGCGAAAATTGCAAATTTCGATCATTTCAAAGATTTATTTCTCAAGAATTGAAAGTGATTTTTCAAAACGATTTTTTGCATTAAAAAGAGGATACTTTAATTAATAATCGAAAGTGATAACAGCAACAGCTAAAAGAGATACTAATTCCTGCGAATGGTGGAGTACTAAGTAATAGGTTTTTAATGTAGTTTGGTAACTATCAGGTATCTGGCCGGATTTTTGTAGCATATAAATCCGGGTCTTAATTATAATAATAAAAACTACTCATAAGTTTACTTTACCTTTTCCAAAAACTTTGACAACTAATGAAGATAAATCTTCCCCCATAGTCACTTGTAGGGGTGTTTGTAAAACTCCTTTAAGTTTTTTCAAAGCATTCAACAAGTCCCCACCGTTCATAACTTCAGTTTCAAGTTCGCATAACATGTTTTGTCTCTCCCTCAACTTTCCAATACTCAATAATAATTTATGTCGAGCCCCTTTTGTAATTCCAATACTCTGTAATGTCTCCTCTGTTAAATTCAACATTTGTTCGTAATTTAAATTATTAAAAACCCAACTGTATTTATGCAATCGAAGCGATTTTAACCAAGAAACTATACTTTTCATATCACTCGAATTATTTAGCGTTTGTAAATCTTGAAGACGAGTTTCCGAACTGCTTGATTGTAATTGATTTATGTTTATGGGTAAAAGAGTTTTATCGTTTGATAATGAGAAACTTCTTGGTTTTGATGCTAATTGTAGTAAGCTTTCTTGGGATGACCAAATATCAGGCCCAGGAACCAAACTTTCATGAGAACCCGGTGTTAAACTGTTCGATCTTCGATTTAACCGCTCCGAATTAACATTTAACGTATTCGAATCTGGATTAGGACTAACAGATTCGTCACTTGATTCAGCCACAGGTGAATGTACAAAAGTATCTGGAGAAACACGATTTAAAACGTGTCTTAATAGCTGCCTAAACGATTTTTTATCATCCTTATTAAACGCCGGATGTACGAAAACGTACGACATTATTTCAACACATTCGTTGTAGATTTTATAAGGGGGTGTTATAAATTCTGTTAGAACTTGTTTGATTATATTTAAATAACAATCAGCGGCTTCTTTGTTTCCTGGTTTAAGTAAAGGGAGGTGAGTTAAAATTGCGGAAAGTGCTACTTGACGTCTTTCAACGGAAAGGCTAGATATGAAAAGGGGGTCGTTTGCGTTGTGTTCCATTACTTGAGCTTCGGGGGTACTTGCGGCACAAATACATTGTTCAAGAGCGTGTTGAAGAAATTTTGCGTTCGCAAAAGGTAATCCAACCATTAAGTAGTAAAGGGCGACCGTTTTTTCGCAACTATCCCATTTGTGGAAACGCACTCGGATGTCATTGAGTTGTTCGCAGAATTCTGAATAATCACGCATTGAGCAATCCATTTTTTCCATTTTCCTTTTGTTGTTATAAAAAAAAGAAATAAAATTATTATAACCTCAAATTGTAAAAAGCAAAGACATTAAACGCTTTATTGCAGTGATTAACGTAATTTTTTCTTTCTCTTTTATCGTTATCCACATTTCTTAAGACATTTTAACAAAAAAAAGTACTCAACCCAGCTGAACGTATACCTGTTTTTTTATTTATATGCAGGAAATGTTATTCCATAATCAGTTGAAGCAGGAGATTGATAACCACGAAAGACGATCGAACGTCGGTTATATTACCGTGGAGTCCCGAAAAACATTCCCCGACAAATTACACACAACAGAAAGACATACACACCCAATAAGACTCAAGTTAATCTAAATTGATGTTACTAAACTCATAAATCACGATGGCCAACCGTGTCTGACACTATTTTCGTTACGTAGGCAACCCAAATTACACGAAATAATTTGGGCAAATCAAAAAGATAATTACGTTTTTTAATTAATTTTAACTCAAAAATAATAAAACAAATAGAAAATGTATTAATATATTCATTTAAGAATCTAAATTATAAGAAAAACTTAAATTAATATTTGTAATTGGGTCTTGCGCAACCCGGTTAACACATCAATCGAATTTAATCGATTTTTAAATTTATAACAAATAATTTAGTTTATAATAAATTGTTTATTGTAATTTATTCGATTTATAAATAAATTTTTATTTTATATCGTTAGATTGGTATTACCCATAATTTTTGACAAATTCAAAAATTGAACTGTCAAGTTATAAAGTGTCAAAACGAACTTTTAACCTACAGAGTAAACATACTGTATAAGGTTATCCAACTCCATATGAAGGCTGTTGTTATGAACGTATTCCCCCGCAAATGCCTTTCTGTTACGTCATTGGAAGAATTAAGAAGCAATATACAAAAATATAAAAAAAAAAAAATTAAATTAAAAAAATATTAAAATATTAACGGTTATAATTTTATTATTGTTTGGTTATCCAACTTGACTCAGTTACCATGGTGATTAAGATCCAAATATTGCAGGTGCTTGTCAAAATTAAAATTGAATTTAAGTTTTTTTAAGGGAAAAGTCTTATTTAATTGGCTTAAAAGGCTGTATTTAACTCAAAATTTGTTTATCTAGGGTATTATAAACAAGGTAAGTGAATTAAATCAAAAAGAGACATTTTTAATTTTTTTCTCTTAATTAGAATCGATTTAAATTAACTACAATTAACGAATTTGTTATGAATGCGAGATAATCGTAAAGAATTCGAATTGTTTTAAAATTAATAAAAATTAAGTTAGAATTGATAAAAAAACCGGAATAAAATTTTATTATTTTAAGGTTAACCAACTTGACTCGGTCACCATGGTGATTATGATACAAATATTACAGTTGCTTGTCAAAATTGATGTTGAATTTAAGTTTTTTTAATGAAAAATACATAAATTAATTGGATTTAAAGGTTGTATTTAATTCAAAATGGGTAAATGGATGAAATTATAAGCAAGGTAAGTGGATTAAATCAAAAAAAAATATTTTTGGATCAATTAAAATGTACAAGAATTTAGGGTTAAATAACAATTAAAACTAGAACTAACACTAGACCTAGAACTAGAAAGTTTTAGGTTTAGCCGGGTGTCTTAGACAAGAACTTAGAAAAATCTGAAGACACACTAACACAAGACCTAGAACTAGAAACAGTCGGGTTTAGTTGTGAAAAAAACTTTTAGTTGTCAATCTAAATGCCTCAATCTCCTCTAATTCAATATTAAGAGAGTTAGCTATTCCCTTCACGTTGTCCACTGTTCTTTCCGGATTCTGGATCGGTATACCATGAATTATGATGTTCCTCTCCAATTTTTTCTGTTCCCTCTAGTGTTTTAACATTCCAATTTCTCTCCTCATACCCTCAACGTCCATTTGTAACCGCTTTTTAATCTCAATTTGTTCATTAAACATGATAAGTATGTTGTCGTATTTATCTTCCATTGAATTTAACTTTTGCATAATGTCCTGTAGAGTAGGAGCTCGCGTTGAATCTTTCTCCCCCTGCACATCCCTGACAAGTACATCTCTTCCCCTGCTGTTTGTTAAGTTCTTTCTGATATTCATTTATTTTAGTATTGGATAATCCAACACAACTGGCATGGTACCACCCACTTATTAAAGACCAAATTATTATTCTTTTATTATCAAAAGTGAAAAGTTTATTTTTTTTATTCCTGTCCGAGGGGCTTTCTTGAGACTCGAGAAGAGTTTATGTATACACAGAGAGAAATTTATGGTTCAGTCAAACATATTACGCTTAATTCAAATAAATGATTTGTTTGTTTATCCGCAAAATAAGATAATCTTAAACCAAGAAACAGCGTAAAATCTTGTACCAAAAAGATGAATATTGGTTGCCAAGAGTTTTGGAATTCTCCAGTTAAGAATAGAAATATTCTTAATGTAAAGATATATAGTTTTCAAAGGAAAAAAACATAATATTCTATTTAATATTTTTTTTCTCAAGACAAGAAATTGTTTTCGGTGAAGAATAATTTAGTTTTTAATTCAAGTGTAGCTCAATATTTATTGTTTTTAATCGAAGAATACTATTTATTTTAATGAATAAGCTTTTTCTTGGTTTAATAATAATTATATTTGAATGAAAAGTAAATATTTTTCGCTTAATAATACTTATTTTTGAATTAATATGTATAGTTCTTGAGTCAATAACACCTGATGTCTCAGGTGAAGATTTGATGTGTTTTGATTGATTGTTTACCGCCAAAGATGTTTTAGCATAACCTGTAGGCCGAACATTTTACGTCTTAATAAAATCTCAAACATATTCTTTGCTAAATAATTGTTGCGTGCACTACTGAACTAAATAACTGCTTAGCTAACAAATAATAGAGAGCTTATTGAGACGTTAAAAGTTCTGCCTTTTAAATCATGCTAAAAGAAGTCTAAAAGTAATGATGTGTAAACATTACATAAATTTATTTCGCTTTCTAACCACACGATATTAAAACATCATGAATATCCTCCATATCACTACAATAAATATACCAAACTACAGTGACCACTGTGACCAAACTCAGTCTTTACTTCGAAATGAACACAACAAGACAACAAGATTAAACGTGTTCGAAGTCGGTTACAAGTGGGTTACAAGTGCGCATACGCATCGACTTATTAAGAAAACCAGATTTTTTAACCAACCTAACCAACAAATGCTTTACTTGGGTCAAGACGACTTTATTTTCGTTTTAAAATTCTTCCCTTTTTCTTAGTTTAAAAATCATCTATTCTCACTTGTAGAATAGTTTTGTTTGGGTTAAACAAATAAAATTCTTAGGTTCTAAGAATATCGTATTTTAGTATTAAAAATTTTACTATTCTTCAATTAATAATGTTTTCTTACACTAACAAAATAATATGGTTGTTTTAAGTAAACTAAACCAAGAAACATATATTCTTGACTCCAAGAATATATTTCTCTCTGTATATGTTTCCTTTTTCCTTTCATTTAATTGTATTAGTTGCATGTTTGTGGGTGGCTTTTGTTTTATTTTTTATAATTGGTGCTACACTGGAGATGCTGTGAGCTAGGTAAATAGTTGCTTGATAGATGGAATATCGCAATGTTTTTGTATATTTGCATAGAGAGTAGAATAATTTAAACGCAGTGAATGGGAAATAATAAAGACAAGTTTCCAAATCCCATTGCCAAGTCTTATTATTGTGAAGAAGAAGTATTTTTAACAGTATTTTTTACCGATTACATAATACTGGAAGTTTTTAATCAGTTGCGTGTATGTGTACTTTAGAAATACGGAAGAAGTTATCGTAATACGGTGGTAAGTGATTAAATGCATCGAAAACAAGTTCCCCCAGTGAATTTATTCAAAGACACGCGTACACGCGTGGACTTTCCACAGAGAAACCAAAGAAATTCGAGCGGAAACTTGCGACAGGACTTGTTCCGGACGGTTTGGTGTGCGTCTTAAACGCGACACGTTTATTAACTTTCATTCGACAGATGTCCAATTTATAGCTCTCTTACATTCGTATCGTTTCTAAAATTCATCTTAATGGGTTAAATAAAGTTATATCACTTTATTTAATTACTTCCTCATATTATTAATGTAATCACTAATACATTCTATTTTTATGATATAGTACACAGATTTAAATCTCATTTTTAAACGACATTGAATAAGAAAACAATGTATTAGTTTCTTCCGTTTGTTTACTTCCTTAAAACCTTCATCAATTAGGATTACACAATAAAATTAGTTAGGGGAAACAGTTTTGATGCTAATGGGTTAATTAATTAAGTACTGTGTGAGTCAACGTGGGTTAATTTCAAGGTTTCGATTAAAAAAATTGGGTTTAATCATCTCAAATTTACATCAATTTGTAAGTTTTGTTATTTTTAAACGAAGAACCTTCAAAAATTACCATTTCGAAGTTTGTGAAAAACCGATATAGATGAGTAATACTAAAAAAAACTCAAGTTTTAATTAATGATTAGAGTTAGTTTGAGGTCAACGTTATTAAAAAAAATAATGTAAGACAATAACCGTGAAATTTAGACGTAGTTTGTTTGGTATTCGCTAATAATTACCGTTTTGCACGGAGGATTTGTGGTGGGTACACCACAGCTTTTCCTCTATATAAAATCAGAGCCGAGTTAAAGAAGATACCAGTGTCACAACCAACTGCAAGAAAGTAAAGTTAAATAACAAAAAGTTTCAGTGAAATAAAAACGAATCATCATGAAAGTTTTGGTGGGTAAAGATAATAATAAATCAATAATTGTTGTTTCTTATAATCGTTTTGTTTAGGTTTTCTTTACGTTAATTGCAACATCTTTAGTTTCCGGTGGGATTATCCAACAAGAGAGTGACGAAGGTTTGAATCATCATCATCATCTCACTGAAAATGTCGATCATCAAGACGATCGGCCCACATCATACCAAAACATCCACATTAAGCACTATCATCCCGTTCCCGTTTACATAAAAAAAGAGCACAAACAATTTTTAGATCATCCTGTTTCTTCAGGTGATAGTTCGAGCCAATTGGAAGTTCACCATGGGGGAAAATATGATCATGGATACGCCACAGGTGATAGCAAACAAGAATTAAACGGATTTGGTGGCCACGAAGAAGGTGGTTATGGGGAAAATTATGGCAATTCAGAAAATTCCGATGAAGGACAAAGTCATGAGGATGTTGGATTAGGTGGATATGGAGGGCAGTATTATGGTGGTGGTGAAACAAGTGAAGATGGAGGACACGATGGTGGTCAAGATATCGGTCATGATGGTGGTTATTATGGTGGTAAATTCGAAGGTCATTATCAGGGTGGAGAAAGTTCAGAAGAAGGAAGTGATGGCAATGATGGGAATGATGGTAATTATGGTGGTTACGGTTATGGAGGAGGAAGCCATGGGAGCGAAGCAAATGAACACTACTAAAACTGTTAATTACAACAGGTGTGGTGAAAGATGTTTGAAATCTTTAAGAGTACGATTAAAGGAAAAAACGCGTTTTGCGGCTTTCTTTTTCCGAATATTCGAAATCGGAGATGAAAGTTACTAATCTGGTCGAATTATTTTTTATTTCTTTCTATTGACTATTTTTGCCCGTTTTAATTTTAGAGATCGTTCCTTTATTTTATAATAAAACAATGTTTAGATTAGGGATTAGTCCAAAATGTAGTTTTTAATTTATTATTGTTGGTTTTAAAAAATAAAAGAGTTTTTAAGAAAAGAAATGTTTTTATACCAATACAAATACTTTCCGTTTTGAATACATGTATCGTTTTGTTCATCATTTAAGATTCAAGAGATTTCACTAAGATTTGTATATATCGAGTGTCCCATGGATCTTATACTGACAAAATATAATTTCGACCTGCTTTATAAGGTCGTGTTTAGAAGCAGCGAAGAATGGACGAAGGGTGAGCCTCAACTCAAAAGAAGAGCCCTGGCCTGGTACACCGATGCTTCAAAGACAGTTGGATCCGGAGTAGGTATGGACATCATTAAGACGGATTAAGATGCCCTTAAGCTCGGATACAACTACTTTTCGGGATGAAGTTTTTGCCATAAACTTCTGCATCGTTTTGAACATTGAGAAGGGACAGAAAGAGGCATCGATAAACATCTCTATGGACGGTCGGGTCGTCCTAATGGCAATTCAGACACCTGTCAATCCGCACTGATCAAAGAATGTACCGATAACTTGAGAAAACTCGCTAGGAGTAATGAATTTACTCTATGGTGGGTTCCAAGCCACAAAGACATTGTGGGTAATGAAAAGGCGGAGTAGCTGGTCAAAGAAGGAGCGAGACTCCCTTTACTGGAACACAACCCGGCTATGGACTACAAAAGAAGCCACATAAAAGAGGTGATTAACACATGGGAGGACTCAAAGGTAGCTTTGCGCTGGAAAGAATTTCCAGGATACGATGAGGCGTATGATAACTACTTCGCAAAAGACTTAGGGACCCTCTTAGGTTTCCTGATCGGCCACACGTCCCTAAATTACCATCTCTTTAACATTGGACAAGCTGAGTATCAAAGTTATCGGCTTAGCAATGATAAGCCAGAGATTGCTGAACATATTCTGTATGACTGCGTGGCCAGAGGTCACCTAAGGCTTTGGAGCAATACTAAGGTTCATCAAGAAGCTAGATGTACCATAAATCTTTAAAGGGAAAAAGTTACATTAGATTTTATAGGTCGCGGTGACTAGAGCAGGGTAGCAACAAAAAAACTCCGATCTAAGTTAAACCACCAAATCTGCTGCAGGCTCCTTGGAAGGAACTGAGGTCTTAAACCATGAATGGTATACTGGGCCTATGTAGCAATAATTAGACCCATTGTCGTCTATGCCTTACTGGTTTGATGGTCAAAAATGAATCATAAGAGAGCGTCTTAAGAGATGTCTTAATATAACGAGTGCAATGAGACCTTGTCCGACGGCTGATCTTGAAGCCCTCACACCACTTTATCTGTATATACAAAAGGATGCAGCTTTAAGTGTGATCACTGAAGATATGCTATTTACTCAAGTTGACGCAGGGTAACCTCAGTGGACATGAAATCCTCAAGCATTCGACTGAGGTCACCCGATTTATCACCTTGTGATTTTCTTCTTTGTGGACACTTAAAAGTGTATGTGTAAAAACGTCGCCCCACAATCCTGCAAACACCTAAGGTCGCATCTATGAAGTGGTTGCCATTCCACCGGAAATTACTCGAAGAACTATAGACAATGTCCGGGAAAGGCTTCGTCAATGTCTCAAGAATAGAGGAAGTCATTTACTGAACATAATTTTTAAAACCAAATATTGTAAAATGGCATAGCATTTATTGTTCACAAATAAATACATTTTTTCTACATCTTCCCTTGCTTGTTTAGAACTGCGTTTAGAAATACGGCAGGATTTTATGCCAGACCTTGTATAATAACGAAGACATAAGGGATATGATGAAAATAACACATAACATTATAGATAACATAAAAAGTGCCCAAGTTAGTTGATACGAACATATCCAAAGAATTGTTCAACTCTGACTAACAAAGAAAGTACTGCCCTGGACACCACAAAGACGAAGTAGAAGAAGACCACGGAGAAGTTGGAAGATTGTATTGATGGAGAGATGCGGATAAGAGAGGCTTGGAGAAAGAGATATGGAAAAACTGGAATATGGAAATTGTATATTTACAATGATTTTTGACTTAGACATAATTGAAATAGAAAGTTTTGAATTTGTTTTTGATCAATGTAGATAACTTAGTTGACACACACATTTAATAATAACTATTCGAACTATTTATTTAAAGATGGAGTAAATTAATTGTTATGCCACTGTAATTTAATTTTAGTATTTAAATCAGAGGTTATTTTCGAAAGCATCAAACAGATCACCATGGAAAACCTAGAATATGCGAATAATAAATACCACAAGAATGGTAAGAAATCAAGTGGTTTTTGTAATTTTAGGAAGCGTTTGAATAATGTGGTTCTGTCAGATCTAATAAGAAAATATTTTGATTATTTTTCTGGATCTACCACATTTATCGTGGGGAGTATTTGCTGTATAATGCTATATAATTTTTTTTTTTTATTTAAATATAAACATAATTTTTTTCCAAATTACCCAAGTACCTATACTTGGTTTTGGATTTGACTCTGAATACGAATCTACAATCTGTTTTTTAAGATTGATTCTAGTTTTTGAGATATTTAATGAATTAAGTTTTAGGATTAGTTTTACATATAAAGAGTCCAACAGTAGTTGCTCATCCCAAAATGCTTGGTATCGCAACTCGATTTTCGCCATGTCTTTATTTAACGGCTCCCGTTACTTGTCGCTCGTACGCTTAAGTTTTCAGGGAAAAAATCAAGATGGGAATGCAGGAAATTAATTTTGAGAGTCATTCGAGCTTCAATCTTGTCCCATTTTTGCGTATGATAATTTAGGAAACAAGTTGATTAAGTACTGAAATGATTCACGGTTGAGCGTTTTGGCGAAGTTCTTGGTGTAGAATGGGAAATTCTGCCATTTTGTATGTTTCTTTCCATGACGAAATCACTACTATCACTTGTTGACGAAGATGTAGTCGCTTTGGTGAGCAGTTTCACTGACACCTGGACAAAGTGGTAATGAGTCCTACTAGTACGTGAAACTGTCTTGGACATCAAGATATTTGTATTGTGCAAAATTTTTTGTATTAATACCAACAACGTTTATCAACTAAAAGTAGCAATCATCTACATGATTTTTTGGTTCTCTTTATAACATACTTTTCACTAAGCTTATACGGCTTTATTCTGCACATATTACAACTCAAAATTCAGGTATTTGTAAAATTGTATTATTGTTAAAAAATATTTTATTATTACTTATAAAACCATCACAGGCACATTTATAAAAATCATCCTACTTATATAATTTACAAGTTTTTAAAGTGCTTACGAAATTTATACAGGAACATCTTAGTTATAAAAATTATTTTCTCCTTAAATCTTAAATATTTGGCATTCAATTTACAAAATACTATTTTCAATTTAAAATTATTGTTTAACAATAAGGACGTTTTCTTCTATTGATTGACTAACAACTTTTTCGGGACCTTCCAAATTCGTCGAGCAATTCGGTTTGTCCTCGTCGATCATTTTTTCAATTTTAGCGGAAATCTTTTCGATTTTTTCAATTTTCTCCCCACCGGGTTTTTTATTGAATTCGTTCGATTCAACTTTCACCGAGGTTAATACAATCGTTGAAGATTCTTGGGCGATATTTTGTGATGATGAAGTAATAAATACAGTATCCTAGAAACAAAAAAATTAATTTTTATCAAATCAAAAAATATTAATATTAATACAGTAAAACTTCGATATAACAGATTAATACGGGGAAGGAATTTACAAACAAATTCCAACAGCACATCCAATAACAAGAATGGTAGATTCTACTGAAGTAGAATCCGGCAGAATCCAACAGCTGCACAGATTGAAGGCCCGTTCGTGACGTCACACATGAATAGGCAACTACTATATCACACTATGAATTAGCAAATCGTCTGAAGACGCACGGTTAAACCCGAATTTTTCTAGTTCTAGGTCTAGTGTTAGTTCTAGTTTTAGTTCAATGAAAAATATACAACAATTTAACGCTTAATAACAACCATAATTGGAACTAACACTAGTATTAGGACTAACACTAGACCTAGAACTAGAATCATTCGGGTTTAGCCGTCTTAAGAGACGTGCGGCTAAACCCGAATGATTCTAGTTCTAGGTCTAGTGTTAGTTCATCTTTTCGTTCAATAAAAACATGCCACAACATAGCGCTGAATAACAATTAAAACTAGAACTTCCCTCGGGGAATACCCCGAATTCATCTATGAACATGGAATAAAGAAACTTGAGAAACAACCCGGGTTAATCTTTGATGTATTAAATAGATAATACTAATAGTATGACTTAAAAATATTTTCTTCGTTATATCCGAAGTCCGTTCTAACGATTATCGTTATATCCGAAGTTTTACTGTATTTAGATTTACTTCATCTTGCAATTCGGGACAACAATGATTAGTTTTACAAGCTTCTTCTTGGCATTTAACCAGACACGAATCCTTTTGGGATACAATCGATTCGGTACTTTTTGATTTTGGGAAAAATTCCGGTTGAATGGTAACTTGAGTGATTCCTTGTTCTTCGAAAAATCGATTTATATCGTTTTTGATAGTTTCGTAAACTTTCGGATTCTGAAAAATGATATGGACGGTTGAAATCACTTTGTTTGCCGTTAATTGCCAAACGTGGAAATCATGGACGTTGATTATATCGGGAAAATGAGCGAGTAAAGTTTTTTTGAGTGCGTCTATATCTATACTTGCTGGAATTGTTTGTAGAAGAATTAAACAACTTTCTTTCACTAAAACGAATGCTCGTATTAATATATTTGTGATGAAGACTAAGAAATGTGTTACTTACTGTAAGGAAAGCTTAGGACTAGAACGATTATTGATGAAACTACGGCTAATATGGGATCTATGAACTTTGCAATATGAGCTTCGGTGAAATAGATTATTATTGAGCATAATATCACTATGATAGAACCTAGAAATCAAAATAAAAATTATTAATTAATTTATTAAATTAAAATTAAATTTTTATTACACGTTATATCACGTAAAATCTCTCTACAACTTTGTCTTTCTCGTCTTTGTGGTGGAGGTACAGTTCTTGTTCTTGATAATCTTCTTCCTCCTTGTTTTATTGAATCTCCAGTAACAACTTTGTCTAAGACAACATCGCCGCTTTCGGTTACGTAAAGGAAGCTACCTTGATGAAATGTATATCCTTTAAAAAATTAATTTGTTTAAAGCAGTTAGTGAATTAGTATAAATAGAATAAAATTATTGTAGTAGTACAAAAAAGACCAAAGAGAAAGGGATGAAAGATTTGAGTTTTGAATTTATTTTTACCTCCGATTAAAAAATAACAGATTGCGTTTAAAATTAATCCAGTTACACCAACAGATCCGACCATGATCGGTTGATGCATTTCGTCAGTATGGTCAATATGGACCAAAGTTTGTATGGCTTCGACCAAAAGCGAAAAAATTAAGGAAGCCAAAAAAATACAACAAATAACTAAAGTTAAAACATCAATTCGAGCCCAGCCGAATGTATTTTTTAATTTCTTTTCTTGATAAGCTGCGGTTATGGATTTATTAGCATCCGATTTTGTTCTAACGGCACCAACACATTCAGAACTAGCGTGTTTAATGTTTTCTTTGACGTCTTCGGGAGTTGTATTTTTATCTTTTTTGTCAAAATCTTTTCCATGCTGGAAAATTATTAATAAATAGAAGAAAATAAAAATAATTTATCGATTAATTACCTTTATCGTCATAACGCATCCAGTTAATGCGAAAATATTACATAAAGTTTGATAAGAATCCATCAGCAGTGTTAAGGAATGAGTAACATGACTTATGACCAATTCCGTGACGAAGAAAACAACGGTCATCGTTAAAACGATGTAAAGTTGAGCTGGTTGGAATTTTCTGAACCATTGCTTCACTGGCATTATTGCTATTGTTAATGAAAAAAAATTTGATTACAAACATAAAAATAAATAAAAGAAATTTAATCCTTTTAAAAATTTGTTCTTGACACACCTTATATCTTTTTCCTTTTTCATTATTCAAGTTCAAAGTCTACTAAACATCATTTACTATTCCTAAACAGTTCTAATTGATTAGTGCATCGTGAATATAAATCAAATTTAAATTTGTCGACAGATAAGGTAAAGGCGATGTCGTTGAAAACTAAACCAGCGTATCAATGTCAAGCTATAATAACAATTTTGATTCGATTATACAACTTTTCTTTTAAGGTTGACTTTAAGATTAAAATTTGAAACATAAAAAACGTACAATGTTAAGGAGGTCAAGAAATGAGAGAAAATGAGGGAAATTAAGAAATCTCTTCATTATGGAAATTTATGGTTTCTTTCGGTCGTTCGTTCTCATAATAACCGCGTAGTTTAACGCAACAATGACTCAATTAATGGTCGGTTTTATAAAATTTGACGCAATCAATGATTAAATATTAAACTTTAAAGAATGAAGTTCTTTGACACACAAAAACTGTATTTGCATTAAAAAGGAATTTTGCAAGAAATTTAATCATATTAATGAGTTTGTATTTGATTCTCACAAATTTAATAGACTCAAAATTGTTGTGAAACACAGATTAAGGCCATTACATAGTATATATTTTCTAATCTTAATGTAAGTGTTATAATGAGGAAGTATGTCATATCGATACAAAACCACTACAGTTTTCAAGAATACGCGGTTTGATTAAGTCAAGGTCGCTTCCGGGCGAGGCGCTACATCGAGACTATATCGCTACAAAAACTGTATAGTTTTCAACGATGTCAGAATTAATTAAGCCGAGGTCGCTTGCGGGCGAGGCGCTACGTTGATAACATACTGCTACAAAAACTATACAGTTTTTATTGATGTCAAGCCTAATTAAACTGAGATCGCTTGCGGGCGAGGCGCTACATCGATATCAAAGCGATATAAAACCTGAACAGTTTTCAAGAATACCTACGTGAATTAATAAAGCAGAGATCGTTTGTAACAGATGTATTTAATCAATACCAAATGGATACAAAACCTAAATAGTTTTTAAGGACGTGTTGCATAACAAAGCTGAGTTTAGCTGAAGTGGGCGAGGCGCTACATCGAGACTAGTGATTTTGCGAAAAACCGGATATTCGGCATCCCCTTCGGCCGGATATCCGGTTATCCGTCATATCTATCCGGCCATTATGGTTATAATTTCTGGTGCATTTCTGAAGTGATGTCCTACATTGTCACATTATTGCGATATTTGAATAAAAATGAAATTAATAAGAAAGCTATAGATATGTCAACTTATTTGGATCTAAGATACAAAATTAACTTTTTTGATGCTGATTTAAAGCCTGATTTAATCTTCTGCACAAACAACATAAGACCGCTCATCACGTCTGTTAATGTCATTCCTGATCTGTGCTCTGACCATCTGGGTCTTGTGATCTGCATTAATACAACCATTCGAATACCTAAAGTAGCTCCTACTCTGATCAAAAACTATAAACTTTGTAATATGGAAAGAGTGAACGCAGGAATAAAGGAATATGTGAGATCTAACCCTGTTATTACACCCTAGTCTATCGCTACCTTTAATAAACGCTTGCTTAATTTGGTGGATGCAGCAAGCCCTTCCAACATCAAGAAACATTACAATTTTCCTCTGCCACCATTTATTTTCCGTTTGATTAAGGAAAAGAGACGACTCTACCGCGATTTTAGATCCTATGAGGAGCCTGCTCTGAAAAGAATGTTCAACGAGCTTAATAAAAATATCCAAAAGCTAGTGCAGCAATTCAGAAGTGAAAAATACATTGAGGCCTGTGACAAAATCAACAGAAGCAAGGGTAAAAACTACTAGCAAAAAGTCCGCAAACTTTCGAAGTACCAAAAGTCGCCAGCAACCCAAGAGCTTACTGACCCTTAAGCGGGTGTTTTCCTTCAGCAATGAGGCCCGGTTCTGCCCTCACAACAAAAACACAGTAGACAATTGGTACTACCACGCCTTTCTCAATTCGTCCAAAACGCCTCAAGATGCTCTCATGCAGGAAGAAGAATACTTCACACTACTTAACAGAGGAACCAACACAGCCCCTGGATACGACAACATTTCAAGGGAAATCTTAAGGAAGCTGCTCTCTTGATATCCACGCCTACATAAGAAAAATTTTGAAAATTATCGTTAAAAGTCGAATTGGGGTTGAACTTGATTATTATCTGCCTATACGGTCGGAATTAAAAAAAATGGTCTGATAGGTCGGACACCGGATAGTTGCTGGATATCCTTTTGTATACTTTTCAACGATGTCAGACTTAATTAAGCCGAGGTCGTTTTCGGGCGAGGCGCTACATTGATTACATAATGCTACGAAAACTATATAGTTTTTATTGATGTCAGGCGTAATTAAGCCAAGGCAGCTTGCAACTGAGGTTTATTATAGTGTTCATATGAATACAAAATTGGAATAATTTTCATAGATTTTTTGTAATTGGAGAATTTTACTCCTAATTAGAGCTGCATCAATCAGCTGAGTCTAGATCAGTAAGTGAAAATAACGTCTTATGTTATCCAAACCACATCTACCCACATATAAGCCCTTTACATTGAAAATTCACCAATGGAGACTTTTTATATGAGATTCTATACAGACTCTATCTCTTTTGTTGGGACGTTGAATGTAATTCTAATGATTCATGACGATAAGTCCACAAAAGCCAGCAGTTTCTTATCAAGATATGTATTGCCTTCTTGGTTAGAAGAACAGTATATGCAGTTTATGCAGTAGTGATATATTTCACAAAATGCATCACATTGAGATACTGCATACTAAGTTAGGAGAATAGTAAAGATTTGGGTCCCAACGCAGAATACAAAGATCACCATTGGATTTTTAGATGTATTCTGTAGATTTTCGAATGTCCCGGACAAGTTATTGATGTGATTTCAATAAAATTAACGCTGCTTGTTCAGGACAGTGGGTGATAGAAACGCAGAATAAACAAGGTTTTTTTCAAAAAAATTCTATAGTTTTTGCCGTAATGGTTATCTTATCCAGCAAAATGGTCATTATTGAAATCTGAAACCAATAAATTTAGTTTGAGTAGGTCCATGTTTCGAAAGTGGAATATAAAAATAAATACCAATTAATTAAGAAAACTCTTTGCTTCCGGTATTATTTATTTAATTTAATTGACAGGACTAGTTTTGGACCATTAGCTCCATCATCAGCTATCTTCTACAAAGCGATACAAACACGCGAACTAAGAGACACACAGAGTCAAAAAATCATGAAACAATCATAGTTAATTTTTGAAATTGTCTGCTGGGGTTCTTGCGATTTGAGTTTGTGGTCTTCATTTGGGATGACGTGAAGGATAAGGTCTAGGTTGTATTTAGGTTTCATCTTCATGGGATCAAGTTGGACAATTTTGACCTTCATTTTAAATACATCCTATGACAATAGAAAGTGAAGTGCTTGAACATTGATAATAGTTACGTGTACTTCGTTTCATTATTTCGCAAATAACTGCCTTTGTACTACGCGATGCGAGAGAAAAAGACAATAATGATGATAAGGTATAAAAAGTAGATGTTTAGCTGAAAAAATTTGTCCACAACTAGATACACTCAGAATCGATTTCAATCTATGCTTATGGCTTTATGGACTTTATCATAAATCTTATTCAAGAGTGGGTACTGAAAAATTACATTCCAATGGCAACTATTTGGGCTTGAAGCAGCTTTGAATTGATATTGTATCTGGGCTTATAATTGCACCACAAACAAAGATTATCGTTCTTCAGCTCCACCTAATATTATTGTAGATATCTCACTTAGCAATAATTTAATTCCCAACATTTTCAAAACTTAAATATGGTTTAAACTTCTAATGTTGATCATAAATTATAATCGACTTTAATCCATTGAGGTGTTTTGCCAACTTATTGTAGTTAAATAACAAAAATACCTACAATCGCTTATAAATTGAAATGGTTTACATTAAAAATGTGTTATTACTCAAAACCGACCAAGAAAAATGTTGTACACAAAACCTGTTTATAATGAACCAAGGTAAGAGAATTAACAGGTTCTTGTTGGGAATAAAGCAAAATCTTCTAAAATTGTTTCATCTTAGCCATCACGTTGTTTTTGGGACAAAATAGATTAGTTGAAATTTTTGGTCCAGTAGATATTTTCGGAATCAATTTTAAAAGTAAATTTGAATTAATAATTTTTGGTAATGGATTAAAGTGATTTAATATGACATTTTTAATATAAATAATTTTACATCAAAAACACTTTTTGTTATCTTTATAGAGAGTTATAAAATGTTATAATTAAATAGTTAAGGTTCAATTGAGTCACGAAGTTGGTTTAATGATTGACATCCTCATTTTGTTCAATAAAAAAACCTTTTCAAAAAAAACCTTTCGTTTACCTTCAGACTAAAAAGAATCGATAAGGAAATGGTTTATCTCTCAACGAAAAAAAACTTTGATATGAAATCACGATTGTTCTAATAATCGAATAAATTATTGATACCGAAATAACTCTATTAAAAGATAATAACATCAACAAGGTGAAAATATTAGATAAAATTTGAAGTATTAAAACTTACTTGGATTACTATTTTTGTTCAGCACTTTCTTTAATAACTACCAACGTTAATTATCGCTACGTTTTCGCGATAACAGAAATTAACTCTCAATCCTACACCGTAAACAAGAATGTTATTGTTACAAAACACCACACAGCATCAAAATGCACACTGCACTACAATAATCCAAAAGTTGAAGCCTCCCACTTGACTTTCTTAGATAAGATTTCCCAAAAAAATAAATAAAATTGTATCTATTATTTACAAAACTTACACAAAAATTGAATGTGGGTGCAATTTCAAACACGGCATCCGAAAAGATGGAGACAAAGAAGTCTTGTGTTCATAA